TCTGGAATTGTGCCCGCTATATGGCATTAGGATCATCCCTATTACATGGGACTCATAACATAAATAGTGAAAAGTGGGTGTTACATTTTACAGTGGCATAATGTGCACCACTGCCTACCCCTTTGGGTATAAAAGGCGTGATGTTATGTTATGTTATGAATATTTTTTGATATTTTATTATATTGGACAGTGGAAATAATTAATTTTTGATGAAGGCCAGTACCCAATTGCTGAGTAAGAAACTTATCCAACAACTTTAACGTAGTCATAGCTAGAAAAAAGATCAATAAATTCACTTTTACTATCAACTGATGATAAAAGTGAATTTATTACACCTTTTTAATTTTACATTTACTATTCAATTCTTCGTATTTACTCGTAATTTCAAATAATACCTGCATGTAGAACGAACAGCCACTTCACGGCGTCATTCTGTCTGCGTTATCTATGAATGGACGCCATATTGACAATAGACTTGGTCGATTTATGGCGGTTTTTGTTTTGCGCCACGATTATGAGGTTAGTCTATGGTTTCGCTATAGGTGGCGACCACACCGAAGGCGCAAATATTGTGGTATAGGGTGTTTTTAATCGTGTGATTTTGTTTAAGATAGGATGAAAAATTAAATGTAGGTTGGTGATAATTTCAGTTAGATGTGACTGTTTATGTACTTATATAATTAGCAAATATTAAATATCTCCTAGATTAAATAAATAAAAAAAATAAACTTTAAGTTTTTTGCTAGTAGGAAATAAGAAATTGTTGTTGCAAAACGACCAAATTGTTGTATTAAAAAAAACCTTCTGAACCACGATACGTTCTACAATTACGTCTCGCACATATTTTGATGTTAAAAAAAAAACAAATCGTCTCAATTTTAAAAAACCAACTGTTTAAATTCCGAACACCCCATTTACACCTACGCGGGTCGCCATTCACGGCTCCTGCTACATTTTATGATGTCCGTAGTAATTGACCACAATAAGTAGCAGAAAAAAGATCACAAAAAAATTATATGAAGTCGTCACGGTTTTCAAGAAATTCTACTAAACGATGCTTAGTTAATACCAAAGCATTGTCCTTTAGATTTATATGAATTTTATAAAGATATTGAGGCAAAACCACTAACTTTATCATTATTATAAAGAGATTTATGATTGAACTGAATATTTCAAATGAATGCCTCGTGAACCTAATTCGATTTTCATTCATTCATAGATTGTGACATTATTCATTCATTGATACGGTTTTTAAAATTGGAATTGTTAATACATTTGTAAGTATGTATTGTGAATTTGTGATGTTCGGATACATTCCAACTTTTTAAACGTGTTTATTGGTTATGGTTTAACTTACTTATATTTCTTATCTTGAGAGCTTGATCGGCTGGGGGTGGTCAATTGGGCAAACATTTTTTACATTATAATTTTCTTACATTTACTTTCCTTAATCGAAAATAAATTATTTCGACTGTTCAATATTTAAAAACAATAACACTTTCATTAATTGATTTTATGAACAACTTAATTTTAGTATTATTCCAGCAATTTTTTAAGAAATAAGTAGATATGCTGTTTGGCGCTAAAAAAACGTGACGTGATACACAATCTCGTACAAAATTCATAGAAAACTATCGTTTTTGACAGTTAGAAAAAAGTATTTAATTGGCCTATAGTTGGCGAGTACCCAATTGCTAAAAAACTGCCAGTCTAAAGAAGTACGGGCCAACCGACAGTAAACGGCCGCAGTAAGCATATGTCGCATTACATCCGCAATACATAGAAATTCAATGTGCTTGCATCAAAATGACTAAGATTTGGTGTCAACAGATTACATTATTTTCGCTAGGTATGAGTATATTCTTGATGTAAAAGATTCTGTTACAGAAGGTGGCTACCAAGACCACAATGTAACAATGGTGCCACCTATATTATATCTAACACAAGATCTACACATAGCTGAACCAAAATACAATTAAAACTCCTACTTAAAAAAAAACAAGTTTTTACTTCATTCTCCACAATCTTGCCCACTACAAGAGACAGAGAATTTGAGGCGAAACGCCACATCGATCACGCATGCCACGTCTCAAGGCGGGATGTAACAAAACGCCAAAATAACTGAACTTCTCTATGATATCAACCAATTCGATAACTTGTCATAAACTTGACGAATCGAGACCTTTTGAAATAGAAGATAATGTAACGGACTACCGACTTCATCATAAGATATTGTACAAGAAAAGAATCAGACTATCAGACACCACGGATGGGGCCCATTAGGGCTGATGCCGATACGGAGCCGCGGAGAACCTAACGGTTTGCCGAGGCTCCGGTTCAAAGTGCAGGAGTAGGAACGGGGTGGTTTTTAATTAGTAAGAGTCTGACATTTTCTCTCGCCTCACTCGGGCGGGAGAAGTCATTGGATAATTTTCCCGCCTCAAAAAAAAAGTTATAATGTGGCACTGGGTGTGTTTCTCTATAACATATCAAAGTCAGCATTATTTCATATACCTAATACTGATGCTTAGACTCGTGTCTATCGGTCTATCATAATTATCAATGTAGTGGTAAGATGTTCGTTTATATTCGTTGATTCATAAATATGAGATGAAATCAGTTTGTCTGAAAATGTATTACAATATTAAGTTTCCAAGAAACGTACATAGGATAATTAACGATTTACATTCAATTTTCACCAGTCATTTTATAAGTACACTGGGTACGATTTTAGGCTGAAGATTTAAAAAAAGTCAGAAGACACATCTTATTTGTCTCTTTCAAAAAGTCCGTTCTACATATTAAACACCTGTTTCTAGTAAAAATTCTCATGGTTTCGTAACGACTATCAAAATAAAAAAGCATTGGAACATGTACAAACAGTATTTTTTACAAAAACAACAATTTTGTACAATTTAATAAAAACGAGAACGCGGCAGATCGATCATTCGCGCGCCAATTTTGACAGATCGCGCCATTTTCTAAATAAGTTCGGATATCTTTCCAAAATGTATCAAAAGCGTTCTAATCATGTCTATTGTACATGAATTGATGTAACTTGATTTGTTTAGATTGATCTGACCCATCCATTTTGTGGTCGCGGACAGTTAGTAGTAAGCTTTTTATGACGAATCCAGGAAACTGATAGTTTTGCTTATTTTTAGCTGATTGCGTGATGGTCCCGATAAGTTAAGTTTTTAATAAATGTTATTATAGTTATAGGTACAATTTTTATTAAGTAGTTAAGCCTATTAGAATGTATAGACCAGGTGGCTTACTCTTGAATCCAATTCCGATCGATCGACATTGGTATTGTAAAATTTCGTACTCTTGATTTGCTACACCAGCGCCCATTGCATTCGTATTGCGTGGATATTGAATGAACTAAATGGTATTCAGATTGGCTTTATGTTCCGTACTCTGAATGCTATTGTAACAGCTACAATTGTGGTTGTATAATTTTGACATTGAAAATTATTGAGATTTTATTGGATTGAAATTGCATTGACATTGAGATTGGTTTCAAGATTAAGCACCCAGACCCGTTTGAACGGCGCGTCACTATCCGCGCGCGCCTTAAAGAGCCATCAGACTACCACAGATGGGGACCAGTAGGGCTGAAGCCCGATCCGGAGCCGCGCTAGGCCTAACGGGTTGCCGGGAGTAGGAACGGGTTGGTTTTTAGTCAATAAGAGTCTGACACTCCCTTTCGCCTAACCCAAGGTGGGAGAAGCCATTGGACGATTTTTCTTTGGCGACTGTCACGCTCCTATTGTCGAGTAATCGAGTTCCTCGTCAAACAGTTACGGGAGAAGGCCGAAAACATAATCATAATTTTTTTTCTTAAAAAAAACGTTGCCCCACACTGGGATTTTCTCCTGTGTCGTGGGTGCGTTTACAAACATATAAGTTCACATACACATGACACCCAGACCCGGAACAACAATTTGCGGATCACACAAAGTGTTGTCCCGTGCGGGAATCGAACCCGCGCCACGTTGCACGGCAGCCGGTTGCCCAGCCACCGCACCAACCGTGCAGTCAAAAAATATGATATTCTAACATTTGTTAAAGTTCATGTGTCATGTAGGTAATATCGTGATAATGTAACTTAACATGTTACCAGTATCAAGTCAAAATGTTGTTCCCATGTAACTGCATTAAAACATCTAGACTTACATTCATTTTAGTTTTAGGTTTAACTACTTATAATTTACCTTTGCCTGCGATACAGGATTGTCCTACCTAGTGCAGGCATCTAACTTTATGAGATTAAATTTATTTACTTAAGATATATTTTTGTGTAATGTGAAACATGAATAAAGTTTTAACAATTTTACCTAAATCAGATATTAGTAGAGACGAAATTAGAAAATTGTACTATCCACAGTTTTCTGTTTTATTTTATCGTTATAACCTTCCGAATTTACTGTAGTGTAATGAAATAATTAAACATTCCCAACAGTACAATAAAATAGAAATTGTTAAGTCTCCCATAAACCGGTGGCATACATAACACATGCGTGCGTATATAACATCAATGTGAAGTGGGAACCGCAACAATTGCAGAAACCATTAAAACAAACAGGATTGCAGCTGCGAGCCACGGCCACTCGAGCGTGACGCTCGGCCCCCGGGCCCGCCCCCCGAGCACGCACAAAAATCAACATAAATAACAATACACACCCCTATCTTAGACACAATGACACATCCAACACCGAAAACGAACTAACCACCAACACAACACAAACTTATAAAAGATCTTTAAATTGGCCACCATAAGACCCAAAGTCCCCCGATTGGAAGAGCCCGACCATTACAAAAAATCAAGTGTGCAACAATTGAAAAATATTTCGTCTCTTTCATCCATTCAATAGTTACAATCCCTCTACTTCTGGGCGCTTTTATTAAATTTATTGTCAAAGGAATGTATATAAAAGTTGTTGAAATGAAAAGGGTCTCAGTTCCATTTCGATCGTGGGTGATACAAGTGTTCCAATATGTTTTCTGAACAAAGTTACTCGAGGCTCTTCAGGCCTTGGGACGTGAGTGATAGTAAGAAGGATGGACAGTCACGTTGTGATATTTCTGGCGACGTAGAAAATAAGACAACAAAAAGAAAAATGGACGAAGCAAAAAGGGAAAGTCGACTGCGGAAAATTCGCGGCACCTTTAGAAAATCTGATACGAGTCATCAAGACGCCACCGTCTCGACTACCACTAGAGATGGTGATGAAGACGTAAAGACTGCAACTATAACGGATGTAAATTCACCTGTTGAAAAATTAACATTGTGCTGCGACCGACTTCTACCAGAACCTCCTTTAGAAAAGAAAGAAAAAGTTGAAAGGCCGACGGAGATCGACATAAAACCTCAACCTTATCAGTTGCCACAGATGTCAGCATACAGTCCGTCGTTCATGCAGGAGTACTTACCGACGGCGGACATAGCGCACGCACTGGGCGTGCCTCCGACGGACCCACTACTCCTGGAATCCCTGGCACAAGGTTACGCGATGGAGCTGGAATACGCAAGAATCCTACACCAAGAAAACGAAGCTAAGATCAACGCTAAAAAGCAAAGACCAAAGAAGTATAAATGCCCGCATTGTCACGTTGGCTTTTCTAACAATGGTCAATTAAAGGGTCACATAAGGATTCACACTGGCGAGAGACCTTACAAATGTGATGAGAAGAATTGTGGGAAGACGTTTACTAGGAACGAGGAGTTGACGAGGCATAAGAGGATTCATTCTGGTGTCCGGCCTTATCCGTGTTCGACGTGCGGGAAGAAGTTTGGTAGGAGATCACTTGAAGAAACATACACGGACTCATTTTATCCAGGCTGAGAGAATGATGCCTGTGTTCGTGCCTTTGTCGGCAATGCCACATGTGGCTGGCTTCCCATACTTATACGGGTACTAAAGCTTCGACTATATCATATGTGTTAAACATGTCATATTTTATTTATATGCCAAGTAACAACTACATAGGTCCTGAGAACGTATATGATCTAAATGAATATTCTAGGTTTAGAGTCTAAAATAGTTCTTTGTTAACTTGCTTAAGATTGAACAGAAAATGAATTTATTAAAGTCAATTTTGTAAATAATATAGTAGATAGGTAAGTTTGAATGCAATGTGAAAGAGTATCGTATAATAGTTTATAATTACTTGTATTGTATCAGAATACGGCACTTACTCAAAAATATTATTGCAATAAGCAATTATTGTCGTTTATATTAAAAAAATCGCTCAAAATACATGTTATACTAGGTATAATATTATTATGAAAAGGTTGTGAATTATAATAATTAGTTTAAGGTAAAGAAATAAACATATATTTTTCGATTTCAATGGAACCAAGTTATTTTCTTTTACCCAAATGTTACCTAACAAAAAAAAAAATGATTTTTTTAGAGGTCCTTCTAGGGGATCTTCATCTGCGACATGTGGCTGTAATATAACGCAGTGGCCAGAAGACATCAACATCAATAAAGCATCAAATATTCATCTATAAGTCTAGCCAAATATAAATGTGGCTTTGTGTTGGTTGGTGTTGGAAAATGGAATAAGTTTAATAACCTCTTATTTAAGTAGTAACGATGGATTTATTATACCACCTAGTGATTATTCTGCCCCAATACATACAGGTATACAGGGTGACTTGTAACTTGACGAACCACCCGCTGTTGCACAGTAATTCGATAGTGCGCTGGATAACTATTGCTTTAGAATTAAACATTTGGATGGGCGAAATAAATACCTAATCATTTAACTATATAGATCCCACTTTTTACCCAGCGATTTACAAATAATTATTTCTGCCAGTAGTAGTAATAACAAATGTTTATTTATGTGTTTAGAACTGATAAAAAAACTGATAAAACCATTTAAATCAAAGGGGCAGTTTTTTATTTATTGATGTTTTTTAATTTACTTTTTTGACCAAAACCAAAAATGATAAACATATCAGAAACTAGCCACTTTCGGATTACGGACTAACTTTGTAGGAAATTTGTTGTATTTATTATCACCCCCCTCCCTCCCTTAGGTAGGGAAATATTTCACTTTTATCAGTAGCAACAAAGCTTACGACCGGGGCTGTGTGGTGAGGCACTTTATGGAGTTTCATGCTCGTTCTTTTTCACTCGAATCTACATTTTGGAACGAGCGCCTAGCTTCACTGACGGACAGACTGACCGTAGAAGTATCCACGTCTCATAAAATAGCGCCGTGAATTATTGACGCTGTAAGGGCTTAACACACATAATTATGCCCACGTTATTCGCAATCTGTCTACGAGCAAAAGAAAAAGTAGTTCCTGAAAAGAGAACTAATGGGTCATGTTAACTGTAACGAAAAAATATGTAAAAAAGTAACGCTTCGATTCAACTACAAATGACGAGTTTTGAATAACAGAGGGACTCTTCCTCGTGAGAAGCGTGCGCGTTTGTGACGATGATGTCGCGTGGCCTCCTGGACCTCAGTATATTTTCATGAGCGACTCGTCATTTTTAGTTAATTCAGTAAGTCATATAATAAAAAAAAAGTCTCACGATAGTTATTATAAAAACAATGTTTTGGTTGTTCGTCAATCTGATTTTATTTATTTATTTATTTATTTATAATTTCATATACCTACACCACACAGACAATATTACAAAGGACGACACATTACAAGTATGAGGTACATAGGTACTGCATATCCCTTAAGGGATTTTATTACATAACATTACATTACTTAACACCACGCCTTTTATCCTCGAAGTGGTAGGCCTAAGTGCATACTACGGCACTTAATGGCACTGTACAATGTAACACCCACTTGTAATATATAATATAATAGGTGGTGAGCCTATTGCCATATACCGGGCACAATTCCAGCCTCCGTGTTGAATTTAAGAAAAAAACCAGTAATACTTTGCCCGCCCCGGGAATTTACCCGACAGTCGCACTTACGAGCACTCGGCCAACGAGGCAGTCTGATTTTGTTTATGAAGATATACGAGGATAAGAGCCATTTTGCAATTCCATAAATAAGATATTCATTCTCCAATCTTATTGATCTGAGTACCTATTCGTAGAAGCTACAATGAAGTACCAAAAAAATATAATATCAAAAGCATTCGGACATTACATTAAGGCTATTTTAAAATCACAACGAGCCTCGTAATCACAAAGGCCGTATCAAAAGAATTACGAATCGCCTTTAAACTTAAAAGTATTATAAAATCGATACATCATTCCTACGAATTGAAATCGATATCAAAGAAAAAAAAGTTGTGCAAATAAAAAATCCATGGAGTGTGGACTTCCGGTTATTTGGATACAAGAAAGGAAAAGGAATAGTACAATTTGTTATTCTCAAAATATTTTGACTTTTACGTCAAATAAATGAAAAGTTTGTAAAAAAATACGCACACTTGGACGTATAAAAGATTTTTGAGAAATACTCAATGAAGATTTAATTGCAACACCTACGCTTTGAGAAGGTTTTATTCATTGAAAAGATTCTGGAGTGCTTCTTTAGTTATAATTTATAAATAACTAACGATCACGAGGTCATATATATCATGTGCATAATGATGATTATCAAGTAAGGTTGCAAGCCTTTCGGTCTTCTACCGGATAAATTTAAGTAAGTGTGCGGGGGAATCGCATAACATAATTCCCCCAAGTCCACATCATCATCATCACCATCACCATCATCGTACCACAAGACAATCGGCGAAGTGTCATCGTGTCATGATGTCCCGCCCATACGCACGAAGCGCTTCGCATCAAGCTTCCTTGTCTAAGGTGCTTCTTTCCACTGCTAAGGCGTGGAATTCTTTGCCAGACTCTGTATTTCCTGAAGGGTATATAACCTGTGTGTCTTTAAGGCCCAAGTAAATAGGTTGCTTATGGGACGACGTGCTCCATCGTAGACCGCATCATCGCTTACCACCAGGCGAGATAGTGAGCAAACATCGACACATCAAAGATAAAAAAATATCAATTTGTGAATCACACAAAGAGTTGTTCCGTGCGGGAATCGAACCCGCGACAGCCATTACGCAAACCGTGCAGTCAAACATTATACATTCACATTTGAAGACAAGTCTTATTTGTGAAGCAGATGGACCATCTAATGGTAAGCGATCACCCTTGATAGTCGTCCATGAACACCCGCAACTCCGGAGCCGTTAAAAAATGCGTTGCCAGCCTTTGTGGCCTTCGGTAACAACCCGGATCACGATGAAACACTGAGTATCGTCCATATACCGAAAGGCTACTCAATTTTAAGTCTTAATTATAGAGGACTATAATTAAGAGCGAGTCTCTACATATTCTATGTAAATTTTTTTTAAACTTTGCTCCACCCTAGGATTTTCTCCTGAGTAGTGGGTTAACAAACATAGAGGTACAAGTTCACATACACATGACACCCAGACCCGGAACAACGATCTGTGGATCACACAAAGAGTTGTTCCGTGCAGGAATCGAACCGCGACACGTTGCGCGGCAGTCAATTGCGCAACCACCACGCAAACCGTGCAGTCGAAGCAGAAGATGGCGCGATATTTAAGCACAACTTAAAAGCCTTTTTTTAGTATTCGACTATTGAAATCATCTGTTACAAAGTTAAACTTCGCTTAATTTAAACAGTTACGAATGATTGTGACCTAAACCTATTTTGAACTCGTGCTGTAATGCAATCCATCTCAATTTGACATCCTATTTAAGTTAAGGTGTAAATAAAGGGTTGCTCTACTTACTTACGTGATTGATCACTCTATTCAATCAATGAGTTAAGTCTGTCGCATTGTCTAATATAATATTTCGCCGAGTTATTTAGAAAATAGATGGTCAAGTTTTGGGTGCAAAATGCAAACATTATGTTCCATGTTTTGTACATAAGTATTAGTAATTTTGGATTTGTCTGGCGCTTTATGTATGTGCCTACTTTAACTATACAAGAATTAATAAAAGTAAATACACAGTAGGAAGATGTTACGGTATCTGCCAGGTGGCCGATAGGCGCTTTTTTTATGGGGGAATACATCCAATGACTCCCGCCCGAGTGAGGCGAAAAGGAGTGTCAGACTCTTACTGACTAAAAACCACCCCGTTCCTATTCCTACACTTCGAGCCGGAGCCCCGGCAACCCGTTAAACCCTCTGCGGCTCCGTATCGACATCAACCCAATTGGGCCCAATTTGTGGTGAGTCCTTGAGGCGCGCGGACCGCGACGCGTCGTACGCTCGGGTCTGATTCTGGTCGGACAGCGGCAAGTTACCCGTGCTCGCCGTCTGCAGTCCCGTGCTTACGGTGACCGGAAATCATCTCGCGAGCTCCGACGCCCGGAGTGTCTCTCACGACGGCTAGGGCATGAGGAGGTTCGTTCCCTCACGGGCTGACAGGGGCTGGATACGAAGAGCTGACGATCCAACTCAGTAATATGCACTTATGTAGTGTCTATGTATCTAATACTAGATCTAAGTAGGTAATCAATACATATCCGATTGTATCTAATGTTTTAAGGAGAGTATTAATTATAACTTCAAACAATAAAGTTGTCCGATGCATCACCTTATACTTGGATATGCCTATATTCAGCAGTAAACGGAACCGAACTGATGATGAAAAGTTCAAATAAACAAACAAACATTGCTCTAAATACCCCTTGTTTAAACTGTAATGACATTACTTGTTCTTAAGAAGTCTATTGCATAGGTTAAGCAATAAATTAAGAAATACCCATATTACGTCACCATGGCAAATAACAACAAATTAGCCAGTTTCCCACGTTCTATCTCGTTACCTACATTTGCCCCAAATAATAACTAACTATTAATATAATTTAAAATCACAATTCGGATGTCCGTTCACTCAGCACGACTCTTCGCAAGAAATTGAGATATTTTACACTGGCAACATTGTAATTTGGATGAATGAGGTGTTGTCATTGCGCACCGCGTGAGTTCTATTGTTGAAACTGACTTCCGTTATTATAATTGGAGCATTTATTGGTAATAAGAGTTGAAAGAAGTTTTATAATGCAAAAGATGTAGAATCATGTGTTTGATGCGACTGTTACTGGTCAAATACCAATATATTATGTAGATACCTGCGAAGCTCTGCGAATAACTAAAACAATGATTGAACTAGGCTATTCATGGTCCATGTTCATTAAGGTACACGGCATCGCATGTAGATAAAAGAGAAGGCATATGTTCTTTAGTGTTTTAAAAAGGTAACAGATGAACAATAACTTCCAAACCAACCGACAGTTCAAGCAGGAATCAACTCCTACGAATAGCTGGCACAAAATACGATAGAACCTACTTTCTTAAAGATATAAAAAAACATAATAGAGAATCAAAATATCCAAAATTAATAATCCGTTGAAGATTATAGCGACCCCGTGTAAATATTTCGCGATCTTTTGTTGTTTATGCAGCCAGCACGAGTTCCCACGTCCAAAAAACTGGTCAATATCGCTAGTAGGTGTGCCCCACTTTTTAACCGTAGAACATAATCTTTTTAATTCTTTCGACAAACAGAAGATCCAAAATCCAAAGTTATTTATAACAACCCGCCTACACATCGTACAAATTCACTGAATAGATAATTTATTGGGCGGCTATGGCCAGCGAGTGTTGCAAGGATAAAAAATCGAATTTGATTTTTTTAGGCACAGGTGGCATTTGATACAGCCTGAATGAAACCTCCACGACAGAAGGGAATTAATGATGGAATCTATGTAAACATTTTTTGTTTGTGAATGAATCGTTTTTGTTATGCATCGTGAGTTTTATTTGACAAATGAGGGAATTGCCGATTAAGCTCTGCAAAATATTTAAGCGTTTTAATTTATTATGGTTACCTAACTGTGTGACACCGTTTGTTTAGAGACTTCAAAAGCAGAGGTTTCAAAACATAACTGATGACAAATGGGTCGTAACATATTGTATATGTGTACATTGTGCGTCTACTCCTTCGAAGGCTTCAAGGATTAAAAGACGCAATAAAGTGTTAACCCTGCGAGGCGATCCCCGGTCACCGTAAGCTCGGGCCTGCGGACGGGTAACTCGCCGTCCGACCAGAACCAGGCCCAAGCGTACGGCGCATAACGTTCCGCGCGCGCCTCAAGGAGCCATCAGACCACCACAGATGGGGCCCAATAGGGCTGTTGCCAATCAAGACCTATGCTTCCCACAAAGTACAATCCGTATAGTAATTCTACATAAACATTCTCACATGAGCATACTTCAAATCACTATTACATTTAAGAGATATTTCCAACGCATAATTGACTTGTTTAAGTTAGTACAATAAATTATGAGCTGACAAAAGGATGGTCCATGGGAACTTAAGTCAGGTGGGTCGCTAGATCGTCACGCCTATAGAATACATTTTTTAGAATGGCTATTTGCTACCTGGTGTAAGTAGCAGCTCAATGGACGAGATCACCATGATATTTGGAAGCGTTAGGATAGTCTTTACCCAATTGTTATGTTCTATTTTTTCTCGTACATAACCGAAAGTAACAATTGTTTTGTTTTTTTGTTCAACTCTTTGAAGAAGACAATTTTTAAGTGGTTTTACAAATGAATACATTATTTGAATTATCAATTAATTAATTGCATTCATTAATTTATTAGCTATTATTTGTTTATTTATTTATTTCATAAAAAGGTACAGGTACCTATTTATAATTTAGCGTAATGTCTAACAAAACTGTATATAAATAGTTGACTTTAAGCATATTGACTGCTTTTTTGAGGGAGGAAAATCATCCAATGACTTCTTCCGCCCGGGTGAGACGAGAGGAAGTGTCAGACTCTTACTAATTAAAAACCACCCCGTTCCTACTCCTGCACTTCGAGCCGGAGCTGCGTGGCTCCGTATCTGCATCAGCCCTATTGGGCTCCATCTGTGGTGGTCTGCTTGAGACGTCGACGCGACGCGCCGTGCGCAAATATTTTGACTGCTGGATCTTATTATCCGTGGAGTTCCATTGTCTCTGCCTACCTCAACGGGAGATAAGCAAGATGTACCCAATTTTGCCTATTACAATTTTAGCGATTATAAATTAACACGTGCCGAGGGCAAACATTTCGAATATAAATAACTCCTGTATTTTAAAACGACATCTTAGATCACAGACATGTAAATTATTGACAAATCTTTTGTACCTTTTTAATTAAATCTATACAGATAGATGAAACTAGTGTCTGTTTGTAATATTGAAAAAATAAAACAGCTTTTTACAATACATACGATACTTATACCAAAATAACAATTTTTGTCTGTCTGTCTGTTTGTACTGGCGAATCTCTGAAATGGCTGGACGGATTTTGACGGGACTTTTATTGACAGATCGCTGATGTACTATGGAGTATATAATATGAATTTTAGAAACACGCAGATGTAATTGAGGGTTCAGCTAGTTATCAATAATATTTACTCACCGCACTTCGAGCTGCTACATCGCACTGTTACTTTTGATGCACCTTGTTCTTGCTTGCACGGATGACAATCAACGAGAGCACAATACAGCTGCTGTATTATACAACACATTCAATTTTTAACTGACTTCAAAAAAAGGTGGCTCTCATGACATTCTCTCTCATCTCATTGACATGTATGTACCTATGTCTGTATGTTTGTACGCGATTAACTGAACCGATTTTGATGTGGTTTTCAGAAGATTGTTTCTTACACTTAGGAGAAGTTTTTAGTACCTATATTATTTAACAGACTTGGACGAAAAAGATTTCAAGTAGGTTTTTTTTTAAACGTAGTTTATTTAAACTATCGTTTTAAATGAATCGTTTCACCCGTTAATCAATGTTGCCCTGTTAAATACTCATTAACAAAACAAGAACAGGTTCTTAAACCACATTTAAGATAAAACCTGCAAAATACTAAAAATCATTTATTTCGTTCGTGTAATTATTAAAAAAAATAACCGTGGAACATGGCTACCCTACACTACTGACTACACCTACAATTCGCTAAAGATGGTACCAACAATACAAATAGGATTATTTACCGCGTCCATTACGCTACAATGTCCATTCATGAGTTTTTACTACAAAAAAATATAAGTTTGTTATTCCCACGGCGTACTTGACTTTTGCACAAATTCGCTTCGGCGCATGTCAGGTTGAACCTACAATTTGACGGCCGGTGAATAGCGACCTTTTTTTAAACTATGATCGATTTGATCCGATTATTTGTATTTGTTTAGTCGACCTATACCTACATGTAATTTTTGACACTAACACCTTTTTGAAACTCCCACGCATTATTTTTCCGTAGCATAAAGTGTCTTTCAATTTCTGGCATTAAAAATAAAGTTACCCTTGCACAGACAAAATATTCATAGTTTAATATTTTCTTTATTAAACAAAAATGTAAAAAGTAAAAAAATATAAAAAGTATCAAAAATATAAAAAAAATATCAAAACAAAAGTCGTTAAAAAACCAGGTATAAAAATATAAAAAAATAATGTCAGCTTCCCGCTTAAACGGAAGCGCGGGAAAGCGCAACAATCTGTAATGGCGGCCACCCATGGAGCGTGATTTGTCATTGTGGTAACCGGTAATGATGGCACAACTTGCACAAACAAATCATTGTTATATCGAGAATATTCTCAATACATTCCTACCTCAAATACATCCTATAATTTGAATAGAAGATGTATTGTAATAGCATTAAACTTTACCTACTATAATTTAATTGTAGTATTGGTTGAATGTATCATTGGTTTGTGGGATTGATTGAATTACGTTGGTTATTGTCGTCGTAAACAAACTATGGCCCAGCCTAGAAAGAAAGAAAGAAAGTTGGTCATATTTTTGATTAAAGTGTTGGTATTGTGGTCAGTATAGTCTGCGTTTCGTAGAGGATATTTTCTTCTAAATGTATAAATAATTCAATTAATTTTCGGCTTACTCGCGTAACTTTTGACAAGGAACTCGACTAGTTTCAAGCCGCGCTAGAATTTGTAGTCAAACAGTTACGTAAGGCGAAAACATAATAAATTTAGTATGTCTTACGATGGTTATAATATAAATAATTCAATTGTTTGAGACCAAGAGTAGATGGTGATAGAAGGATTATATTTATTAATTCACACAATAATATATTTTTTGTAAGTAGATGCCTTGAAAATTGAATTAAATCGAGAGACCTGCAATTTGGTCTATAGATATCAATAACGAAAAGCTAATTCTTTTTAATACACAATAAATAAACGACTGGTTTCAGTAGATTTCCTAATGAATTCTCTTCTTTGCCGTCGTTCGTTCGTTTGTAGTTAAATATAATTATGTAATACGACCATTTTGGGTTACATTTCACACAAACTGCAACTAACTGGTGATATAGCGTATAGTTAACATTATTAGGATTAAGTCACGAAAACCTATTAAAAGAATTAAATAAAACATGCTATCAACATGGAGGACCATAAATTGTGTGCAAACAATTCGTAAGGACATCTCTTTCAAGTCCGGACGGCATTGTTGCGCGTGCTTCGGTCCCCTACATACGAGGGATCGTACAATGGTGGCAAAAGTGCCATCGTACTTGCGGTTGGACCACACGTGGGGTGGGACCTTAAATCGAATTGGGGAGAGCACCCCCAGTGACTCGATGTTTTCAAATCCAACTTTTTGGTTAGTGAAATGTTCATTGCAACTATTTTATTTTAGCTATGGTAATCTAACGTAAATAAGTTTACTTATATATGAGTGAATGTATTATTTTATGAATGTATTATTTTTATAGGTACCTAAGATTAGTACAATAAAAATTCTGCTTATAAAACCGCGGTCATTACCAATATCACACGTAAATGAAACGACTTTTGCTAAATCAATTCAAGAATATATATTGTAAGCAAACAACGAAACAACTTACATTTCGTCCTTAATAGCGGGTTTGAGCTTCTCGACATACTCTCCAATGACCAAAGCAACGTCAGTCATGTTCAGATTATACATATCGAAGAATTCTTTATTATCTCTATCATTACAAATGTAGAAAGGGCATTGAACAGTTTCTTAGCCCTCTCAGTGTTCTGATACGTCTGCAAGCAGTACGGCTTGATATTCTTTATCAAATCAAAAGCAATCGCCATGACCACCTGTTCCTTCGCACTGAAGGACCATAGCTTCAACAGGATGTCCAGGAGTCCATTACAGACAGTATCAGTTGACATATATTCCAATAAACCTATTCTCAAATAAAATTTCATCTTGTCATTATCCACAAGATGCTTCTGTGAGTCACTTCTAACTTGGATGTGTTCTTTTAGAATTTTGTTAAACAAATTGACAAGAGATGCAATAACGTGTGTATCTAATTTGTCTACTTGGTCGTAGAATGGCACCAAGCCTTTAATTTTCATTACTCGAGCCTGCACTCGAGGGTTCTCAGGTAACCAGTACGTCATACGTCCACGGCGTGGGCTTTCAAAGCTAGATTGCCATTTTCGAATATATCTAGTATTAAGTCTACTATCACAATTGGCATAGAAGCGGACACAGTAGTCGGAGCTATATCGAATAGACTTTTCATGAATATAAGTGTACGAGATTTTACTTGATCGTTATGTGACTTGAGGCACAGAGGAATAACTCTATCTATTCCTTTAGCTTTAATGAATTTATAAGCGTTATTGGAATTCCTTGTATATTCGACGATACTGTGGATTATTTCTAGCACGGCCTCATACGCTTGTTCGTTGTTGTTAGTCTCAGCGGTTGTCATGAAATTTTCTAAATTTAGTAGCGCCTCCTCCATGTCGGGGAGGACCATATTATAATAGTCCTCGCCAAAGTCGTCCTCAGAGTCTGTAAATTTTCATGAAAGTTTTATCATCATGAAAGTCGTTGAGTTTCTTAATGGTCTCCACATAAAGAACATGATAATTTAATGAAGAAAGTAAATTGTTGATGTATTATAATGCTGGCTCTAAACTCTCATGCGAGCGGACACAAGGTTGAGTACATTGTAGTCTTATGATGCGAGAAAGACTACAACTCTTAGAATGACATATATTCCAATAAACCAGTCAGTAATTTCAGCCTCGTCTCGACTCTCGCGAGTCGAGACGAGGCTGAAATTTACCTTTTTACTTATAATATCATTACTGTATGTGATGATGAAAACTGTCAGGTACTACTGTCATTTTTTCAAGATTTTCGTGGTATCTACTATGTGCATACATCTAATACCTATAACTAACCGATTTTAGAACACGGCTTATGCATTTTATGTACGTGTGTATGTACGTATATTAAATAGGTTTACTTTATCGATTACTCATGTTAAAGAATTTGTTTATAGAAATAACTTGTCCTAGAATTAGTAATATTGCGAGTGCTCATTTCGCCTGTGATACAGGATATTCTTCCTAATACAGACATTCAAACCTAGCGAGATCTCTGATTTTAAATTAAGATGTTTATCTGTACTATGACCAATTTCTTATAATGAATAAAGATTTATTTATTTTCTTTCTTCCTACAGTGGATTTAAGGTCCCTACAATTGTAAAGGTTTGTTATACTCACTTCGAAATCTACGTCCTGGTTGTGCAGACTCTTGTCCACTTGCAATTTGTAACAGTATTGCGATCACATAAAATAAACCTTGTATTCGCAACATTTTTGCAGCCGCCATTTGCGATTTGCGATCACCCGACCTCCGTTTCTGACAAAAGATTGTTTTTCGAAAAATATATTTTCTTTTTTTTTTAAATAGGTAGGTAATCGTAATGTCAACGCAGTCAATGGACAGTATAAATACTCTTTTCTACTTTTCGGTATAAAAAAAAAACAAACATTGGAACATTTTACCTCCTCCTTTTTTGAAATCAGTAAAAACGGAACGCTTGCTTGGTTGGTTGGTACCTACTGGTAGTGTGACACATACACACACTCTAAACACACTACAGTACCTATCTACTGAGGGGCCTGCCAGTTTCAGCTGAGCGCAAAGAGTATAATAAGTATGCTGAGCAACAACTGACCCGACATCATAAGGTCAGTTGTATCTACAAGTAAAAGTGTAAATTACTCATAAATTACCTACTCATCTTGTAATGTCAAAGTAGGTACTACAATGTCTACATGAATGCACTAAGTAATAAACTGCAACCAAAGAAATTAAATAAAACCTCAACTCAACAAATTAGTGACACTATTGTATACTGAAGTTATGCCAAAGTTATGCTTTCCTAACAGTCATTGTCAAAACTATAAACATTTTACTAAAAATAATAATATAATAAGAAATAAGAAGTAATTTTACGCCTAGTGACTGATATTATGTGCAGGAGATAATAGTTGTTCGCGATGAATGATCACATGGAAGCGTTGACGATGATTCTGATGTGTGGCGACGGCACGTGCTGCTGTATCCCTCGGAGGAGCATGATCGCCCTTATAGCCATCATCAGTCTTGTACGTAATAATTTTAACGTAACGTACGATTGGATATTTTGGCAAAAGACCTTGTTGAGTTGCACAAACCGGCGTGCTTGTTCGATCAGATGCATGCATGTTTTTTAAAGATGGGAAAATCAACAAATTACTTCCCCCGCCTAAATAAGACAGAATGGAGTGTCAGACTCTTCTGACTAAAAACCACCCCGTTCCTACTCCTGCAGTTCGAGCCGGAGCCCCGGTAACCTTTTACGTCCTCCACGGCTCCGTAGCAATAATGAACGTAGTTGGTAGGAGACGCTCTGTAGTTCCTACCTCTCCAGGGACATAGGCGTTAAATATGTAGCTATCTCTTTTTGTAACCCACAGGTAGCTTGCCTTCTAGATATGCTAACATCGGAAAAGGCCAGTCAGTTTCCTGAGAACTGCACGTTAATACGTACAGAGATAGAGTGTGCGAAACAGCTTCTCATGACGCTATTTCAAATGGCCAATCTACTGTTACTGCTTGCTTCAATTGTTGTAAGTATGAAGTCGTTGTCTACTTTTTACGTGGGAAATCTTTGGAACACATGAGCTGGTTCGACTGAAGTGATACCACGGTCTTTTATAATATTATCGTCAGGCCTTATCAATTTTTATTTTACTTTAGTAATTACAAATATGAATATAAACGATTACTTCCCACGTAAAGCGTTGCATTCAAAGGTTTCTAGAAACTTTAGAAAACCTAAAGTAATCATAGTCCGATAATTTGGTTTAGTTTCCCAGTTTTCACACAATTTATTAGTATTTCATGCAAAAACATCTCTTGTGACAAATCTTTATCGTTCATAAAGGCCCCAAAGTAATTTTTATACGAGACCCCGTCCGCTAAGGGACGCTGCACCACTGATCAGCGTGAACCAACTCTTGCGTTCCTTGTGTGAGGTAATGGGAGTTACAATCCCCCTCCAATTATGCTATGGTGTCTCGGGGCGACGATGACGCCCAATGCTTCCATCAGGTCTCCGTACTGTCCCATCTCATAAAATCGTCTTTGATCACCATACTGCTCCTTATCATCCTGAAAATGACTGTCGTAAAAACGCATCACTTACTTACTTGACTCATATTACACCCAGACCCGTTCAACAACCTGTGGATCATACTGATCACACAATCGTTTTGTGTAAGTTGAATCCACGACATTTACACCGGAGCCGGTATACCAGCTACTGCATCAATCGTGCAGTTGTATTTGTTAACATTGGCTTGAAATATTGCCGTGAAATATTCGAGAATGTATCTACTACTATCTACAATAATAAATGATGTGTTTGTCGTTGACAGGAGAGTGCAATTTTAGTGCAACTATACGTATGGTACACCCTAGCGTTTGTCGTGATGGGCCTGATCGTGAACATCGTGGATTTCCTATTCAAGTACAAAGTAGAAGGCACGTCGTGTTTGCTCGGGTTCATCACTGAAGTCTGTTTTTTATTTGGTAAGTAAACTAGTCACCCACCATGTTGAAAGTGTAAGATACGCTCAAATAGGGCCTACGGAGTAGAAGTCGTTCTAACGAAATGATCAGAGTGAAGCAAAGGGTGTGCAAGAGATTTGGGACTTAAAAGCGCTTTGTTCATACTCCACCTACTGACTTTTAGGGCTCATTTCATTTAATTTCGAACCTTCAGGCCTCACCCTAGATAAAAAGTACCTCAACTTATTTTTTGGTATACTAAACAATACAAATGAAAAACCAGCAATTTATAAGAAATCTCAGTTTTGATGTAAAATTATCCAAGTCCTAAACTCCTTGCACACCCTTTGCTGAACTTTTTCCTAAAAATTGTATTTTGTGGGTATAAAAAAAAAAAAAATAATTTTCGAGATTCAGTAAGTCTAATACCTAGTCTAAACATGTCTGTGCTTATAACCCAGACACACAAGAATGCTTTTTGATAACAGCCTTAAAACAGGGTGGCCCTTATTTTGTTGACGATAGTAGTAAGGTTGCTTTTGTGTAATTTTATTAACTCCTACGGAGTTGCCCTCAAAAATTGAGGAGAAAAAAAGTTTACTGGACTAATAATGATAGATATCGATGTTTAATTTCTAATGTAAGCATTCGACATTTATCTAAGTAGGTACGTTCAGTGTATTTGGTTGAAGGCAACTAAATCTGTAGACAAGACAGGTTGCGCGATTCCTCGTGCGACTGCTGTCGAATCTGTATTTCTTTCATACAAAATATAACTTTTTACTCTTGTTTCAGTTATATTCAGATGCTTACCACTAGTGGACACCTACAGAAAACACATCAGCGGCGACTCCGACCTAACATCATAAACTGTAAATACAATTCGATGAAAAATAAAAATCACACAATAATTTTAAACTTTTTCATTTTTATATTTTTGTACTATCTACTATATACAATGTGGATATTAAATATCTATAGAAAAAAAACATCGTACAACAAAACTTAAGAGTTAACGCGAATACTAAAATAACACTGTTCCTACTGAACTCATACACACATTTTCTTATGAATAAAAAAACTTAAAAGTCGTTAATTATTCTCCAGAATACTTTGAGAGCGTACTATACAAACATATTAACATTTTTCTTACTCTTTTCCTAAAATACCGCGGTCAACGTTCGATGTTCGTTATTGTTAACAAATCAACACACCATACATCACAGCTCTCAAAATAGTATGGAATGGAAAAACTGTGGAACAGGATGAAAGTTCAATCAAAATGCGAATTTATTATTTGCAATAAATCAAACCAAAAGATATTTTTTTCTAACATGAACACGTTTTCACATAAACAGGCCCTGTTCCGTTTCTTTATAACTTTCAATAGAAGTGTATATCTCTCTTTAAAACAAATCTGAGCTTTCTTGGTCTAAATAAATCATTTTGTCATACGAAAACAGTTCCTCGGCATCTAACTATAAGGCTTATATATAATAGAAAGGCACCATGCTCGCATCCAATGAACTTTACACCCAGTTTCACTTATATACCATCCTTCAATATATAATTTAACAATAATTTTGGTACTTACAGAAATCGGTTACAAACATCGCGACTACCAACGAAAGTAGGTACTATCGACATTGTTTCTAAAAATACACATCAGTATTTATTGTTGGTTCCATGAAATAAAAAAAGGACAAATTTAGGAGGTACAAATATTTCCGAGTCACTCCGAGGCGTAAAATACAAGGCATGATTTCATTGAACTACTTATGTATTTATGCAAAAGAACATAGTTTTTTTATATATTTTAAAACTGCGTAAATTGACGCGTCGATAAAATTATGTTACATTACAATATACGCGAATAGTTACTCGCTAACAATCTTACTTCACACAATTGGTCAAAATTTTCAGTTAAACATCTAAAGCATTACACACTGAATGCACAGACTCACACTTGCTTTTAACAACTTGCAACTTTTTGATAGAGGACTAGGTAAGTAGGTACAAAGGTGTTTCTAAACGAGCAATAGTTTTCTGCAAGCTATTGGCCATATCAATACTAACATTATAAAGCTGAAGAGTTTGTTTTTTTGTTTGTTTGAACGCGCTAAACATCGAAACTACTGGTCCGATTTGAAAAGTTATTTCTGTGTTGGATAGCCCATTTATCGAGGAAGGCTATAGGCTATAAAATATCACGCTACGATTAATAGGCGCCGAGCAGAGCGAGTGAAACCGCGCGGAAGTAGCTAGTCGGTTATAATCGCCATCAGCCATAACAATAGTTTACAATCACCTTAACTAATGATCCGACGAACAATACCAATTAAAAGAAAATTAGGATACAACTGTAATTTTGCCTGGCAATGTTTGCAATGTTACCAGCGACCATATTGCAGCCAAATATTACTAGTTCAGAACTTTATGCATACTTCTTCAACTGTTCAACATTAATCGTATAAATATCGTTTATATTATCCAAGTATGATATTCATGATAAGTTTTTATTTTCAATCCTATGGGTTGAGCTGTCTATCACCTTTTTCTTATCGTATTCCAAAAACTACATAACAATTTTGCATTATGCAATCATATTCTTAGACTAAGAGTACGCTTCGACGCTTAGGAGTAGCGTTGAACAAGAAAGGACATTTGAATCAACATTATAATTACTTGAAGCAAACCATTGGCCGAAATCAGACAAGTATATGAGCTTATTCCAGTCGCACCTCTATCAAAAAATTGCAAGCGCTTTGAAACATTTGATGTATAACTATTCTTAGTTACTTACGAAGGCTCTGCAGGCATATTTATTTATTTATTTCTTTATATTATATCCATTTCTAAAGAAAACGAAATCTAATCTAATATACATAAAAGTTTTAATACAAACTAATTCACAAAACTTTATTTTAATCAAGTTTTTTCGAAACTTATTTTGGCACTAGAAATTATCATACTGTAAAGTAAAAATGTCCAATTTCTATGTCAAATCCCAGTGAGATCACGAACTTAAATTAAATAAACTTTTCAATATTTCGAACTCGACAAGACGTGTTAGGTACTTAAGGCCCTATTATTAGGACACCATGTCAGGGTTACACGACTGGGTCGCGGTAAGAACAAAATGTCCATTTAGCGCTTGTCTACATGTAGAATAGAAAACCAAATTTTATGGATTGACGTAAATTTTGACATTAGCCAGTGTCATCCCACACATTTAGTTTTCTACTCTCTCTGTAGACAAGCGCTAAAGTGGCGTTTGGCTAAAGGCACTGTTTTTAATCGACTTCAAAGAATTTCTAATGAATTCTTTTGAATTGATTTCCTAATGAATCCTTCATTGAATTAATGAATTCTTCAATAAATTCTTATATAATATATTTTAGTAGGAAGATTTGGTCGCGCAACTTGTTGTCAATTAGTTGTCGCTCAGTAAACATAAACAGATACATTTCCACGACCGGTGGTAGGACCATGGTGACCAATATAATAGGGCCTTTAATATCACTCAAGAGATATAACTTCACGTCTTTTCCCCCAAAAATGGTAGACAGAGTTACACACTCTGCAAAGTCCCATAGAATGAGTGCAAAACTCGACTTTGTGATACAAATTTAGACTTTCACATCTGTAATCCGACTACTAGATCACATCTCATCCTAAAGGCCGACATTAATAACGATTTTGAACATAAGTTCCATGGAGTTTAAGTAAAAAACCTGGATCAAACCAAGAATATTGGATCAAGATTGGTAATTAATCTCAGCCGTAAAATTGCCAGACACAGTCGAGTTTTGCAAAAGGTTTTATTACCGAAAACACAGCAAATATGACTTAATAATAACAACTTTCGTATGCAATAACATTTAGATATTACACGACATAACTATTAACGCACAAGGAACACGATAAGTTTTATCAATCATACGTTTGCTAACGTAGGTAGATCATATAAATTTTAACATTCATAGTTTTCTTGTCGTAGGCGCGCCGGACGGAACATGGCAGGTTATACTATCGTGGAAAAGGGATCGTAAGAGCTGTAAGACTTAGGACGTATTATTACAATATGTAATAGGTAATAGTGTATTCTTTAAAAATACCGGTTTATTAAAACCTTCGCGAGACATACTAAATTAATAATTATGTTTTCGGCTTACTCACGTAACTGTTTGACGGGGAACTTGACTAGTTTTAAGCCATGCTAGAGGCTCATATTCATGAGCAGCATTCCGCGACACGAGACGCGGCAACTGTCACGCTGCTACTACATACATATGAGCTTCTAGAATGGCTTGAAACTAGTCGAGTTGAAACTTGAAACGAGTGCGTGAAATAGTTACTGAGAAAAGCTCAACAAGTTTCGAGTCACAGAGGAACTCTTCATTATGAGCAGCGTGTGCTACGTTGCCGCGTCCGCACGTAATTTAAAATTTACTCTCTCTAATTATTATAAAAATATGGTAATAGTGTAAGTAATATGATTAAAAATCGCTTTCAAAATCCAGTTAAGTCTCACAGCTTATGTAATAAGTTGCTGTTTTAGTGTTTTCAAGGAATCGTTATTACCGCCTTTGTGTATAGTTTCTTTGAATGGTTTACGTACGGCTAACGTTTTCAAATCCCCTACCACAAATTTAAAAAAAAACAATTTCCTTTACCTCCCTGCCATGCACTTTCCGACACGCCACTTGCAATAATAAAAGTACAATATTGAACCTTATCTCCATCTAATAAGAGTATAAAACGCTGAACTGAAAACTGAACATCTATAGGCTTTGACTATTGAATTAAAACCTTACTGGTAAGAAAATAAGGTCCAATATGTCGAGTTTACTCCCAATATGAACACACTGTATTCACAAAATGTAACATTCTTATTATATATTATTTTATTATATTATTTCCACCGAAAACTTCCTATGGGATAATTATTATAAGATGAACATAATTATTAGGCCAATTAAGAATTATAGGTGAAGTCAAGACTTTACTATTTTCCATGTATAGAAGAGAAATATTTACATATTTCTTTTTGGCATAGATACTTAAAAAGAACTGAATAAAAGTAGCATTGACAATATTCAACAGGTAGGTTTTTCACACAATAGAGCCATGCTTCCATGTTCGACCGCAGTGATACCACGGCCGATAGAGAACCGGCGCCAATTTATAAATCAAACAGGTCGTTTTTGATCTAGTTACTTTATCGGGCAATAATTAACATGCCAAGAAGTCATGAATGTGCTTTGAGCCATAATTTTTTTAAGGGGGGGAAATCACTGAATTTCTTCTCCCGCTTGGGTGAGGCGGGAGGGAGCGTCAGACTCTTATTGACTAAAAACCACCCCGTTCCTACTCCTGCACTTCGAGCCAGAGCCCCGGCAAGACGTTAAGTCCCCCTCGGCTCCGTATCGGCATCAGCCCTATTGGGCCCCATCCGTGGTGGTCTGATGGCTCTTTGAGGCTTTATTGCGCCATACAAGGCTGCGGTGTATTTCAATAGTTAACAAATTAACAACATCAGAGTATTAACTCGTCGAGTACCGGTTTTATAGACACAATTAAAGAACAATAGGTCGCGGTCACCGGTGACCGCTTGGTGTTTGACAGTTTAAGAAAAGGTCTGGTAATGAGAAGAAGAAAATACCTCATTTTTATGGGACAAGCTGGTAAACGAGCTGACGGATCACCTGATGGTAAGCAATCGGCGTCGACCATGGATGCCTGGAACATCAGAGGCGATACAAGGGCGTTACTGTGGGATTAGGAATTTGAGGATTGTTGAGGATTCAGGAATTTGGAAGATTGGGGAAGGGTGAGGGGCGGAGAATTGAGCATCCGGTACACGCACACGACGAAACAGAACGCAAGCGTTGCTTCATGTCGGTTTTCTGCTCAGCCGTGCATCACTCCGGTCGAGCCGGCCCATTCGTGCCAAAGCATGGCTCTCCCACACTTAAAATTATGGGACGAACATATTATAGACAAAGTGATTCTATAACACATACAAACTATGTTATTATGACATATTTTAAAATAATCACCTAATAGGAAACTCGGCAGACACAGTTATGGGACGAACAGTGAACCAATTCCTGGTCAAATGTTTCAAATCACAGTATTGAGTAGTTTTCGTATTTCAACTTGGACAATCAATTATGCAGTAATCAGTTGGGAAAACAGAAATATAGTTATGTAAAAGGCTTCTATAAAGACATAATGAACTGTATGGAAGAGAAACTATAATTTAGATCCCACACTTCATGCAATGGAATCTAAACATAAAGTTAAAAATATCGCAGTAATAGGTGTGCACTCGTCTCCTACAGACACCAGTTTAGACAAAGATAAAGAAGAATTATTCAACAGAATAAATGTTAACGTCAAGTCAGCAACAACTAACCTACTAGGCTCGATGGCATTCTCGCCTGTCATTGGTCGAAATAATTCTTACAACCACTGAAATAGCGGACCGCGATCGAACTCACTTTGGAAGTTCAAATTGACATCTCACAGAATATCTTAGCTGATTGGAAAATGGAACATTCTCTCACTAGCGCCATCTCGGGAGCATAAAAAAGAAAAAACCTCATTCCCGTACACCAACATAAGGTTTGGAAAAATGTGAAACAAAAGTTCAAGAACTTAGACATGAAGGCGACTTTATAGATAGAAAAATAGAGAGTAGAGTAACTGTATGAGATAGAGTACCACAGAGTATAGATATAGACAATAAATAAGTCTACCATTACCACATAATTACATTGATCCATTGTATTCTCTGTTCAATTTCTTTTAATTTACAATTTATTTGTCTAAAGCACACTTATCAGGGATTCGTTTTACTTTTAATAGTAACTGTTATTGGATATTTGAATAAAGGTTTTCGTACAAAATTCTAAGATTTACGATTATCGGGAACAAAGCACATTTGTATTTCCTAATATAAAGATTCTTCCAATTTGGCCAATGTACCGTAACGATTTTTTTTTCTAACACGGAATTTATTGCACAGCTATTCATCCAAAGAGGTTCAATCACAAATCCAAATAAAACCTCTAATCAAAAGAAAAAAAACAAACTGTCACTTTTGGGAAACCAACAATTCAAAAAGAGAACACATCAGACTTACTTCGAAATGAAACTCGCAACTTTTCTGTTCCATGTTTGAATCACTGCACGTCACGCACTGTCTTTGGTCACTACACTTAACTGACACTCTGATTGGCTATCGACACTATAGGTTGCTGGTTATTGGATGAAATTACTGTGGAGCCGGGAGGTATTTTTTGCGGAACCATCCCGTCTATATGTCTGTACTTCTTGAGTCTCGTCCACTGGCCGTTATTGTAGTTCATTTGGAAATGCATTTCTGATAGCATTGTGAGGTATGTGTCGTCCGACTGGAGAACATTCTCGATGTTTTCTGATAGTTTTATCGTTACTATGTTGCCTAGGTTCGGACATGGATTATCTGGAACAATAACATTCATAGATATACCAATATACTTGCATATTACATTTAAAAATAACTTCGTCAATATTTTTATAAGGAATTTATTTATTTATTTGGACATCCAGTTGTTGTTACACATTTAACGTTAACTTAAAATTAGAAATTAATAAACTTATTAAAAATGCACGACATTTGAAGGAGATCAGCGCATGCGTTGAATCGAGAACCCTACTAATTTCAACTGTATTTATTTTTTAAGGGGGGAAAATCATCGAATGGCTGCTCCCGCCTGGGTGAGGCGGAAGGGAGTGTCAGACTCCGTTCCTTCTCCTGCACTTCGAGCCGGGCCGGAGCCCCGGTAACCCGTTAGGTTCTCCGCGGCAATTTCAACTGTATAACTGTTAAAATAAGGTTCGTACCTCTGGATCCGGCCATGAAACCAAGTATAAGCGCCTTCTCTGGTCTCGTGACACGGTTGGCATTGCGGAACATGTCTTGTGCCTCCAACATTTGTTCACGCTGAAATTAAAATATACATTGAACATAGTGTTATTTACATTTACGTAATCTAAAAGTCAAAGTCAAAGTCAAAGCATTTATTTCAATTAAACCATAGTTTGGTACTTTTGAAACGTCAACAAAAACTTGATTTACTTATTTGATGTTATAATCTATATAAAAATTGAATTACAAAACACAGTAATTTTACTCATGTCAGATGATAATATGGGAATATCACTGACAGTTAAATCAGTCTCTCAATGGCTGTCCGCCTTGCTAACTTGGATCTATAGATACCAGTAACACGATAGATATATAGGTACAAATATTTGATCTTACGAGTGCGGGCGCGCCATACTTGTGTCGTAAATGTACACGCACATTGTCTGTTTGTCCGCGCGGCAATGAGCTCACTGGGAGCTACGCAACAAGGGCGCGTGTCTACGCACTACAACTATGGTACACCCGCGCTCGTGACATATAAGACCTAACAGTTAGTTCGTGACGCTCGTCGCATTGTTATCTTCAGCTATGAACCCGTTAGATCGATTAAATGCAAAAGTTTGTGAATTTTTGTGTATATTTGTTACTCAATCATGTCAGAACGGCTAAAGGGATCAGGATGGACTTTGAAACCGGGTAGATTATGATCAGAGTGCCAAGCACGAACTATCGCATTCGTATCGTAACAGTATCGAGCGAGTTAAGCGTTCTGATTGGTTGGTTCACTTGAGCCGGCCAATTAGAGCACCGAACGCGCTCGATACTGTTACGTTACGAATGCGATAGTTATTCGTGCTTGGCAGACAGACAGACTAACTACTTCTTGTCCCACAGGAACGCGGATGAAGCTGCTGGTGTAAACTAGTAATATAATGTAGGTATGTATATTACCGTAAGCGAGAGTCCCCGGCGCGGCAACAAGGGCGGCGTCTGCGTGGCAGCCAGCGCGGGCGCGGGCGCCGCCACTGCGGGCTGCGAGACTGCTTGCGGGATCTGGACCTAGACAAAACATTTCCAATATTAGTCAAAGCCACAGAAAGCTTTAAGAAGAGACGAGTGGAAAGAGGGTAGGGAGGCCTTTGCCTTGCAGTGGGACGACCATGGCAAAAAATAAAATAAAATAAAATTATTAGTCATAACATTGTCATTATTTGGATTACGTTCGGTCTCACAGAAAACCGATGTAAAAGTGTTGTTGTTTCGTCATGTGAGTGAAATTATCGGAGACCCCAATTACTCTCTCCCAAGTTTCCCTATCCTCCAAACCGGCGAATGCTGCAAATGAACTATCTGCTCATCTGTTAAAAAAATGACCAATAATGACGTCCTCTGAAGATAGTCTCGATGCTAAGGTTTGGCTTAGATATTACCTAAACCTCAGGTAAAATTACTATAAATAAAAATGAAATTCCGTTCGTTAGTCTCGCAAAAAGTCAGGGTTAACTGACATAATATAACATCACGCCTTTTTATCCCCGAAGAGGTACGTAGAGGTGCATATTATGGCACTTAATGCCACTGTATCACCACTGTACTGTACCATCATTTTTCACTATTTATGTTATGACTATGAGTCCCGTGTATTTTTTTTTGTTTGTTTATCCGTGTGTATGTCGACAGTTGTGAATGTACGGCAGGGTGTGCAGTGTTGTGCAGTGTTGTGCAGTAGTGTGCAGTAGTGTGCAGTAGTGTGCAGTAGTGTGCAGTAGTGTGCAGTAGTGTGCAGTAGTGTGCAGTAGTGTGCAGTAGTGTGCAGTAGTGTGCAGTACATACCGGTTGCAGCGTGTGTTGCAGCGCGGGCCCGGCCGCCGCGGGCCGCGCCGCCGGCTGCACCGCGGCCTGCGCCAGCTGGGGGGGACGTACCAACATAAATCAATGGAATCACATATATACTAACTAAATATCGCGGGTTGCTCACGTGAATATACTGAGATAAGCTCTACTAGTTAATTAGTAGCCTACGATAGACTGCGCGACATCGCCGCAACCCCGCACGCTGCTCATGAGAAACCCCTCTGTGGTTCGAAACTAGTAGAGCTTATCTCAGTATATTCACGTGAGTAACCGATTTTTAGTTAATTTAGTATGTCTCACGATAGTTATTATAAAAACATATAAGTATACATATATCGCACCAAATGTTGTTCCGTGCGGAAATAAATATCGAATCGAGAATAAAATCGTCAAAAATACTCAAAAGTGACGTCATGTGATATTTCAAATCAATATATCTTTGAAACTATTCGTTTCAGTAAGAATATAAAAAATACGTGTCTAATGTTTTTAAATAATATGCCAGACGGACATTAAAATATAAATGAGTAATTATGGTCATTTGATACTTACAGGTTTAATATTCTGCAACAACACAGCTTTCCCGCCAGGCTGCAGTATGACAGTGGAAGTGTTGAGTAGATTCTGCGTGGACAATAGTAACGGCTTGCCCCCAGCGGGGCCGGCTATCAGGAGCTTTGGTTGTTGACCTATTACTATCGGCTTTGGATTTGAACCCTGGGGAAGAAATATTATTAATTAATACGAATGTATGATGTAAATCGTGTAATTTATTATATGCTTATTTATGTTTAAGTTGTAAATATTGAAACTTAATTTTTATTATTATTTTAGTCATAGATATTGTTGGTATTGTACAGTAATTTTAAATTAAATAATATATGTATGTGAGTAACTAGACTATATCGTCCATTGATTGTTGAATAAGAGTCGTTGTTATTGATTTAATTATAATAAACGACCTAGACAGTTCGTTTACAGAGTATTTAGTAATGGCAATTCAAGCTAAATGCAAGCATGTGCTTGATCAAATGAAATTATCATTTTTTTATAATTCAGATTTGATCTGACATTAGGTAGTATGTACCGCAGTCATTAAGCATGTAGTACACTGTAGAATGGTGCTTGAGGAGGCTCATATACGGTCGTAAATCCTTTAAATTGTCACAGTTTAACAATAATATGAATGTATACGTACATGTACCAGTAGCGGGCTGGCGAGTGGCGGCGGAGTGTCGGGCGTGGCGGGGGGGGCCGGCGCCGCGGGGGGAGGGGACGCGGGGGCCGGCGTCGGCTCCGATGTACTTGACGATGTCGCTGCAAACAAAGTAATAAATACATAGTAAAATGGCAGATTGACTGTGTACAAAAAAGTTAAATAGTCTACGGTCCTAACGCTACACTAACAGATATGGCGAAAGTGGCCTATGACGGTAAATAGTTAGCATTCTCTAATATCGGAGGCCAACAAATGTTGCATTTCATACATTTAAAGTTAAAACATAGCACATTGGAAATTTTACCGAACTAAAACCTGTTCAGATGACAAGAGATGATCAATATTTCAGTTTGGTACGCGTTTACTACAAGTTAATAAAAGAGTTTAAACATACCATTAGTATTTTCATCAGGCTTGGGCCCAGTAAAGTTGTTGAGTCCCTTGGCGTAGTCTGGCGGCGGCGGCGACGGCGGCGCTGCGGCCGCTGCCTTCTTTGCGCCTTCCTCCATTTCTAGATAAAAAGAAATTCAAATCAATTTATATGTGAACACAGGTAATACAAAGAGTTGTTAACACTAGAAAGGCCGACAATCGAAATGACACAGCGGCAGTTCTAGGTAAATCATTATTTTATTTTTTAAATATTTTTTTTCTAACTGAAAACAATAATGAAATTATTAAAATACAATAAATGAAAGTCAAAAAGTTACACGCATCGAACTTTAAAAATAAAAAAGATATGAACTATCAAACTTGCAAATGGGACAAAATTGGGACGGCGGCCTTTCTAGTGTTAAAATATACATTAATAGCATAGCTAGCATAGCTTGTCATAGCTTTATAAGATACTACTGGATTACTAAAACTTCTTTAGAAATACTCAAATATTCATGACTTATTTATGTATAAGCCTTCTTCAAGAATTACTCTATCCACCGGTGGAACCGATATTCAAAACTGTTCAGTAGTGTTAAGTTTTAAGCAAATAGACGTGATGGAGACATTCTTTTATACTGGGTTGTAAGCCTCCAGTGTTCTCGAAGTATATAATGATTTACTGATTTTAACCTACGACTAGTCTTAAATGCATGAGTATTATCTTCCCAAAAGAAGTTCTGGAAAAACTTGTTATTTTTATTTATATATTTAATAGGCCAACGTTTGACCACTATCTCGCCTGGTGGTAAGCGATGATGCCGCCTAGGATGGAGCAAGTCGTCCCATAAGCAACCTATTCACCCGGGCCTTGAAGACACCCAGGTTATACCCTCAATACTCTCCTACATTACACAAGAAAGTAGTGAAATATCTGCTTAGCATTAGCAACGGAAAAACATAAACTATTTAATTGTAAGAAATACATTTTCTACTAAAGTAATTGGTCGTTCAACACGCATGCTATATAAATCTTAAATATCCGTAGTAAACGTTCTTTATACAATCCAATTTATTGTAAAAAATAATTATACTATTTTCTTTTTATTGTAAAAACAATTGGCGCTATTTCTCAGCATTTTCTTACATATTATGTAAATGTGTTACTAATTCGATTTCAAGATAAATATAATATTTTATAATTACTTATACCTACACTACATACTTGATGATAATATTAAATATTACAATGTATGTACAAAATGTACATGTTTATTTATTGTTTTTCAAAAATAAAGTAACAATTATTATTCTCAAAGATTATACAGTTATGGGATAAACGCATCTTGTAGCAATGGCAAGTATTAGAGTATCTAGACGAATATCGGGCGTACAGCTCATGATTGAGTCCCGGTCTGGCTTGAAACTAGTCGAGCGTCCTCAAACGTTACGTTTACGTTAAACGTGATATGTTACGAGTACCTAACTCTGTAGACAAAACTTGTACTATAAAGTGTTGTAAACATACCAAGTTTCCTCCTCTTCTTGATCTGTGCATGTGTGGCGGGCTGCTCCGTGATGTCGAGGAGTTTGATGCCGGCGCGGGGCGGGGGACGAGCCGCGCCGCGCCATGTTCCGCCGCGAGCACCGCCGAAACGAGACGGTAGACCTTTGAGTGGAGCTAAAAAATGGAATATTACTTTAGTATCAAATCAGTGGATTCAAACATATAAACTGCCCGTTGTATTAGCAGAAACATCGCACAAATAGAGACCATGATAAACTGGTTTTGTATAGCTTGACGTGTAGTCGTATGGACAGTGGCCAGCAAGATATATATGTAATTTTTATCAGATGTTCATCTTATTTTATATTTGATGGGCCGATAGACCACATCTCGCCCGGTGGTAAGCGATGATGCGGTCTACGATGAAGCTCGTTTTCCCATAAGCAAACAATTCATTCGGGCCTTGAAGACACCCAGGTTAAACCCTTCAGGAAATACAGACTCTGGCAAAGAATTCCACTCCTTACAGTACGCATAAAGCAGCTTGTCTTATCTTTATACCAAACCAATTAATAAGTTGAAAATCTATTACAGGATGGAGTAGGTTGAGATGCTGGCCACTATACATAGGCAGAAAAGAAAATCTTTATATATATAATTTTTCTGTGAGAGTGTATGTCACTGAACTTCTCTCAAACGACTGGACCGATTTTGATGAAATTTTTTGTGTGTGTTCAAGGGGATCTGGGAATGGTTTAGATTCTCAAATCGGCCCGGCAGATGGCGCTGCAGTCATGGTTTAGGTTATTTATCCTAAACAGCTGAACTAATTTGAATGAATTTTTGTTTATACATTCAAGTGGATATGCAGGACAACGTCTGTTGCGTCCGCTAGTAACATAATAATATTATAACTTACTGGTATCAGTCATCTTCCGCGGCATGCCCCTACTGCGAACAGGCACTGACGGAGCCTGTGCCTTCTTCTGATTGGCTTGCACCTCCGTTGCTTAGTCAACAGTTCTGTACGCAATGCCACTGATTTCGGCTTACGTTTCAGTGTGAAATGCTTCACTGGATTCGGTTGTTGTCCGACCTGAAATTATTTTAATGTATTCATATAAAAATGCTGTGTAGTGTACATATTTGTCGTTATCCCTTTCTCCTGGCTAGTTAAAGACTTTTTTTCGTTGGAGAGAGAAAATCATCCAATGACTTATCCTGCCTTGGGTAAGACGAAAGAGTGTTAGATTGATACTGACTAAAAATCACCCTGTTCCTTCCTGCACTTCGAGCCGGAGCCCCGGCAACCCACATAGTCGTCCGTAAGGGCTATGGAACTAGATATTTAAGCGATTAGCAACAGCACTTATAAAAGATACATACATACGTACATAACTTCACGCCTGTTTGTCATGGGGGTAGGCAGAGACTACGGACCCCACAATTACTACGATTCCTACATACCTCTTTCGCTTCATCAACAGTCATCAATCTTTTCATGCATGCTTGTCGGTTAAGGGTACTTTTTTTGGCCCTTCTTTAATATATCGCCAATCTGGTCAGTATATGTCCGTCTAGGGCTCCCTCTACCGACGGCCCTATTCATTTTTAAAGTTCCATCTCCAATCCACCTGTTAGGTGTAACATTCTCCCATTCTCCTACGTTATGGATGCGTTTACAAACATACGCATCACAACTAGACCCGGAATAACAATTCTACGACATGTTAGCAGCAAGTAATCGCCCAATCAACCGTGCAATCATCAATATATTAACCTTGAAATCTTAACTGGAAAACAACCTAATAATAAAAGTTGCTAAAATATTACTTACCACAGAAACCAAAGCATTCTTATTCAAATAGAGGCACTCAAGCGGTAACAGTCCAAGATCTGAATGCTTAGCCAATGCCCTTCGCAGTTCACTGATCATGTCACTGAAGATCGGCCTGGTCTCATCAAACTCTGCTATCTCCGTGTTAAGGGTGCCCACTGAGGGGAATGTTTTGAGGGTCTCCGCCAACATGGCCACCCAGAGGTCTGAGTCCACGGCTGCCACTTCAATAATCTCTTCGAGTTCATTTCTCCACTGGAAATTGGGAAAAATCGTAATTTAAAAAATCAATAGTTTTCTTTAAATTGCATACTGGAATGGTTTTTTTTTTAATAATTTTTAATAATACTGGAATAGTCCACTCTAAACTTTGTTCTGCAAGATGTTTTACTCATTTGTAAAGGTCATTAACAAATTATTTCAGGTATATTGATACAGCGAGCTTATAATTCCTTTTTAATGAACTTATTATTTACATTAATTTTAATTGTGTAGTAAGTACCTAATTAAGGAGATTTTGTGTCAGTGTTCCTTCTCAGAGTAGTCAGTTAGAAAATGCAGACTTGTGTAGCTTAATTTAAATTATTTACACATTAAAGAGCTATTTTGCAATATATTTGGAGAAGTATATATAAATTTACTTTAATAAATACCTAAATCATTCATTCATTTAAAAAAGCACAATAAATAAACACAAAAGTACAATAAATCAGATATTTCTTACATTGTTACGATCTCATGTATTATTAATTCATTTCTCAGTTCACGGTCATTAGGACGAACAGAGCAAACCAACAATTTATTGACAATACAACTTGTATTGGTTAAATTGAAAGATTGCAAGCAATAAATAATGCATGTTGTTACATCTTTGTTGTGCTACCTTAATTTCATACAGGAATATTTGTTTGTATGATACTTTGTAACAACGCACAAACATATGGTAGGCAATATGGAACGCCAATTGTTATGATTCTTACATAACATATTTACTATACATACTTTCACTAATTAGGTGTATCAAATTTTTAAAGGCAGATTTTGAACAGAAATTAGAAGAAAATCAGATCTTACATTGCATTGGTTAATTTCTGAAACGGATTGCGGTCAATATTTTTTTAGATCAACAATAATTTGTTTTTTGTTATTGCTACATTAACTGGGTACCTAATTTGATAATTAAGCCAGCCCGACCATTTGTTTATACTAATATATTTTAAGACTAACTTAAATTATAGTATAATATTTATATGGTGTAACCTCTATGGTAAACTCTATTTTAGCTGCAAAACTACAAAATACAGGTATGGGACCATTGCAACAGCCAGCTACATGGTACATAATATTAGTAACATGTTAAAATAAATTAGGTAAATCCTAAACAATAATAATGTGATAAGAGTATTTTTATATGTATGTTGTAAATAGGTAAGTCTTTATTTAATCTTTTCTTGGTCTATGCCATTTAAACTATTTGTTTATGTAGAATTGCAGATATTTATATGGAGTTCCATATAACTCTTAATTTATTGAACAAGGTCAAATTCTTTGTGATTGCTATTTTAATATTTATAAAATTCTGTTTGGATACACATAGGTACTTTAAAAAGTTGAACTTATGCATGTAAACTATGGCCTACCAACAAAGCTAGGCATAAGTTCACAAGCTTAATGTTTATACTATTTGAGTGTTTATTTTAATTTTCATGATATGAATTTTAATTTTTAAGGAAAATTGAGTTTGAAGGTATCATAACATAAAATAACATCACACCTATTATACCCGAAGGGGTAGGCAGAGGTGCACACAGAAGTAACACCCACTTTTCACTATTTATGTTATGAGTCCCACGTAATAGGGGGTGAGCCTATTGCCATATACCGGGTACAATTCCAGACCAGAGTCTGGAGTAGCACGGATGTTACGACTAAGATTTTTTTTAAAAACCCAGTAATACTTTGCCCGATCCAGGAATCGAACCCGAGAGCCCTTGCCCGGCAGTCGCACTTGCGACCACTTGGCCAACGAGGCAGTTAAAGTTTTTATGCATTAAATTTAAAAGATTATTCTACAACTGACTACCAAATCTAACATAAAAAGATGTGGTATTTTCATTACACATCAATTCATTGTGTTGCTTTATTGGCTCAACTGAAATCTCAACCTCCTTTCATAGAGGTAGCTGTATAACATGAATGCCTTTGCCTAACACATTAGATGTAACAAGGTCCTTGAAACCCATTTCACAACATGACCAAAATAATTATTCTAATGTTAAATCTATATCGCGAGCTTTTAATAAACAAATCAACAATTCTAAAATTTAGTTTCGTTGCATTCTTATCACACTACTTGACAATAAAATTTAATTGTTTCGTAATTTACTAGACGTAAATAGTCAGTCAATATTTACGGTCGATAAATTAGGTCAATAAACAGCCAATAATTAACCGCTAATGTTAAATTCGAACTTATTTCCTAGTAATTTACTGTAAAATAGCAATTACAAAAATTCAACACAAAATCTAACATGTAAATTCAATAGATGACAACAAATAAAACTAATACATACATGCTATAAATGCATCTCATTCTTACACACAATCATAAATACTGACTGAAAGAGACAGAAAACACAATACAGTTACGCAAAACCATAGAACATCAAAGAGAAAAGTTACCTCCTCAACATTTCTGCGCGGGATATGAAAGAAACTTAGCAATAATTTCAATTTCACTTGCGTTTGCAAATCTGGAAAACAATCCTTGATATTTTTCAACACTTCAGCATTTAATTGGGTACAAATTGAGCCGCTTGTCCACGAATCATTCGAAATACCGAGTTTATTGTGGAGCCACAAAGATGTGTCACTATCCCGAACGTTCGCCATCTTGCAACTGAACTAGTGACGTATTCGCCATGTGTATCGTGAACATGCTTGAATCTAAGATCGATAAAAATATTTCTTTGGAAATCAATTATAAATAAATGAGAAATGGCATTAAATATTCAGAATAACAACTTTATATTACTTTCAAGTTAGAAATAAAAGTTTGATAATTTATTTCTCTCATAAATCATAAATTCGTTACGACCATAAGTTACGTTTATCGATAAAAGTGACGTTTGCTTTTTGGTCAACACTACGAAATTCATCTGCTTCTCTATGCGTACTGGTATTCTCACAATGCTTACCTATATTTTTGTTCATGGTGATTTTCTTGATATTTAGTTATTATTAATATAGTTTCATAAAATATTTGATGTAAATAAAAATTATGCACTATTAATATTTGAATTATCGATCAGTGGTATAAAAGTGAATGATTTGGTTTAACGTGAATATCTGCTTAACCCTGATGGTATACCATAGACAATGAATGATTTTGTCGACGCGCCATATTTGAATCGTTGTTATTTTTACGTTTTATTGATCAAACAATTCACTATTTACTCGACGCTATAATATTTCTATAAGAATTATTTATTTGTATTAATAATGTCGGAAGAACCGAATACACCCTTGGCTTTGAATATCTATGAAGAGGCATTAAACGAAGATACTACGTGTGATCTTTCATCTCAAGGACTAGCAGAACTGCCCGAACTTACAAATCGATACCTCAGTGTAAGTGATAAAGATTCTAATATTGAAATTGAATTGTATTTATTTATTAATAACACCTTACAATATGACATCTTACAGTTAATTCCAATGGAATATCATATTTCCTGAGATATTTAAGTCCAATAAGTAAGTTAAATAATAAAACTTTAAACTTAACTAATTAATTTAATAAGAGTTACATACTCTAAGTATGACATACATATTATTGTAACCCACAAACAATTACTCAATACGGTGATATTTAATATTCCTTTGTCCTGCTTGTATAAATCTTGGTAGGTTGTGGAACTAATCATGCTCCGGTACACTATTTATAATCCGAACAGCACGCGAAATACGAGCATATTTAAGAAGAAAATTTTTAATACATAGTTTAACACTTTAATTCTAATGTAGACAATCTAGTTTCCTTATGGCATCGAGCATTTCTTTATCGAAACAAAGAGTTTCCTTTTTCTTGTATAGAAGTACTAATTCTATGGATTGTCAGTATGCATATGTGAGCACCATGTTGGACTTTAAGATTTTTATTTTTTTTCATTTAAGTAAGTTATTAGTATAATGCGTCAAGCGTGTCTTTGCATTGTTCTTACATATGCGTACAGTATTGAAATATGTATCAGAGACATTGTAGAACATACTTTTTTAAAAAGAGTAACGAATGGAGTTTCTTGCTCATAACATCTCCAGCACTTCCAGGTGATGGACCAATCTTCGTAGTACCCTGGCTATATATTTAACTAGCGCCTCATCTTTCCGCACCTCTAGTGTAATGTAACCAACTGCCCCCAGGACGAATAAACTTGGGTACATCAATGGGAAAAATTGATAAATCCCATACAATTGCAAATACAAAAATCTTGTGAACTTGTTCTGTATTTTTCCATCATCTTAATGTATTTGTCATGATGTGGATTCGTTCTAACCAAGAAAAAGTTCCTTTTAGCTACACGTCCCATTCCTTGTTTTTTTTGTTTTTGGTAAACACTTTAGGAATTTGCATTTTATAACAACGTCCTCTATACAAGGGAACTAGGGAATATCTCACTTGTGATCTATCTGTGTTTGAAAATCGGAATATTTAATTTAATTTATAATAATTTTATTTTTGTTACAGGCTCTCTATCTACAAAACAATGCACTAACAATTTTACCAAGTGATATCTTCACTACTTTAAAATATCTCAAGTATTTGGATTTGAGAGACAACCAGCTCACTGATATCCCGGCATCCATAAAGCTACACCGCCATCTCTCGCATTTATTGTTACAAAATAATAAATTGACAACACTTCCAAACGAAATGGGAACTGTTCCAAACTTGAAAGTTCTCCAATTAGGCGGGAATCCTCTCATGCACCCTCCAAGAGAAATAATAAACGCGGGAGTCTCAAGTGTGAAAAAATTTCTCAACGAACATTTTATAGATCAAATGTTTGCGAATGATGCATCATCGGACGTTACGGGAGATTCGGTAAGCACTAACGGATTTTATCCTGAACACTTTAGCCAAGATGGTCGAAGTTACAATTCCGTTCTGGATGAAGCTAAATTGAAGAAAGCGATGCGTGTTCGAGTCAACGAAAGAGATTCAGACGATTCTGATGAAGAATTGTATGCGAAACTTAAAGGGAAATGTCCCGAAATTAGCAAAGAGTCGGAGTACTATACCTACGCATTATCAAAGTTCCAAGTATGTGCAGCCTTCGAGCTCGGATGGGAAAATGTTATTTGAAGAGAAAATAAAGGAGAGTTACATAAAAGACTTGGCTCTGAAGAAACACAAAGACTTACTAGAATCAATGGACAAGATTTTGCAGGGGAGAAAGTGTGTTGTTATTGTTTTTTGTCTTTGTCCTATGTTCTTGAAATGCATTCCATTTTTTTGATACCTATTTCAAATAACTAAATAATTTATTGCACTGCTTAAGTATAAGGTTAAAATTAATGTTCTTCGCATTTCACAATTTTTTAAATCATTGTTATTATTTTACTTATCCTTGGATGTTAGTGAATCGTTACTTAAATCTTTCAGAAACTGGAGCTACTGAAGAATTGGCGCTCAGATTATAGAATGGGTAAATTTGCGAAAAATGGGTCTTACAAAATTGATTCGAATAACTATCCTTATGACACAAATCCGGACTGTATGTCAATGTTAAATAGAGATGAACTGGAAAAAGATTTACCGGACAAATATAAAAAGAAGTTGGTAAGACGAAGCAAGCCTACAGTGCCAAGAAAGAGTAATAATGATGTCCATTTGGCTCTGAAGATAAAGCAACTGTTCGACAATCTGGAAGCCATCGAATTGAATAGAAAAGATATGACGCCGAGAACTGAGCAAAAGATGCTGATGAATGAGATACAGAAGGTAAGAATGAAAGAAGGGTTAACCTGGAAAATCTTACATTAACGTTAGAGATGTCACTACGCTTCGTCTTCCGGCCCGTGGACTCCACTCCAGGACTTTCCTGGCCCATCCGCTCTCAGACCGTCGGGCGACGTGTCCTGCCCATTGCCACTTCAGTCTGCAGATTTTGCGAGCTATGTCGATATTCTATTGGGCAGGCTTCCCGCTAAGTAGACCGATGACATCGCCAGAGTTACGGACCGCCAGTGGCTGCAGATAGCGAGTTGTCGTTCGACGTGGACGAGTAAGGGGGGCGCCTTTGTCCAGCAATGGAGGTCTTCTGGATGTTAATGATGATACCACTACTGTAATGAAGTTGTTATGAAAACTTCTCCGCGATTCTATTATCATGACATCATGACCATATCAGACAGAAGACGTCAACTGGTAAAAACATGGGCTCCCTAGTGAATTCGAATTGGACGATAATATTGATACTGTGTACCTTTTTGTGAGCTTTTAATAATTAAATCCCCAACAATTGTCAAATTCCTAATCCCCAAAAGGCCGGTACCGCACTTGTAACGCCTCTGGTGTTCCAAGTGTCCTTGGGCGATGCACATTGCTTACCATCAGTGGTTCGCCTGCTCGTTTACCGGCTTTTTCCAAAAACAAATTCTCAATTACCAACGTTTGTTTCAGATCTCTGAAATCAGGCAGAAGCTAATGGAGTTATCAACGACTAACACCAAAACTGCGGAAGTCGAATAAAAATTTCAAATATTTTTTTAGTTTTACTAGGAGTTTGTTGACATTTTCGAAAATAAAATACAATTTGACTTTTTTAAACTTTTTATTACCGATTTATCGTCAATATCGCCGGCTCCATAATAAAACGCATAAATAACACAATAACTGATAATTATAATTATTGCTAAAAAAACATGGTTACACACAATTTAGCTGTTTAAAAAGTACTTAGCCATTATACATAAGGTTGATAGTCGTTTGCAACTTTTCCCAGATAAATACTAAACAGTATTTTAACCGGACAATGCTGACAGAGGACTTAGGAATAACTAAATATAAAGGAACATTACACTTTGTATGATTTTAATATTTATTTTAGACATATAAAACTTCCTAATTAGTGACTACAAAATTCCAAAAATCTACTTTTTCATTTATTAAAAGATGCCGAAATACAAAAATGTCTCGAACGATTCGCAAAAATCGGTTTTTTTTATTTTTATTAATACTTAATACTGAAGCACTGAAAGTAATTGACGATACAGAACCATTAAAATATCAAACCATTCATCTTATCACTAAAGATAAAGAAAGCAAAATTAAATGCAAAATTGTGCAATAAAATACTATAGGACAATAAAATTCTGCTTAAATCATAATATAATTAATAATCATATACGTATTGTAATAAAAACTAGGTTTGTCTATATCCTGAACTAATTGTGATAACATAACAAATTATAGAAGTGAGATTGTCATTAAAATTAATATTCAATGATAAAAATTCTCAAACGAATTTACATTCACAAAACAACTTCCCGCCATTACACGACAGATAAACTATTCACCACAGATTCAGAATGTGACAGAGTCTATGATATGAAAAAAAAACAAAAGCAATACACACTGCACTGATCAATTACTAAACTCTTTGTTTAACAAACATACACATTAATTGTAGAATTTTCATTATTTCCCATTCTGATTTGGCAAAAAAATTTGTTTTTATCACATTTTGACTCTGATTTACAGTAACATTTCTACACACAATGTATACAATATTTATATTGCTAAGTCGTTATAAATGTACAAAATTATAAAGCCGCTTGCTTGAAAATTTACGACACTAGGACTGTCTTTACTATCTCCAAAAAAGGGTGCTAGAATTCTTACAGTTTTATGCCTTTCCATAAGAATATATAAATTGAAATGATCAGCTCAAGGATAAGGACAGGCAGAGAAATATTAGCCGCTAGTTAGTTACTGGGTTTAGTAAGCTTAGTACATATAGAAAGATCATCCCAAAATCACATTTTTAATCTCTCGTGTGCATATTATTTTCTATACAACTTTCTATCATTCCAACTTAGTGGGGACAGTTCGAAATTAAAAAGCAACGGTGAGCGCGGTAATGTGATTGTTTTATGATTGAGTAAATAATATTTCTTAAACAATGCGTATGTGAATTGATATATATATATATACAACTTTTGATGGGATAAGGGGCAGTAGAATGGTTAGCAGAGATATCTGATGGTAAATGACAATGGCAAAACTAGAAGATTCCCAAGTGCGTTACCATACTCTCTTGGGACCTCCGTCAAGGAGAAAAACAAAAGTATGTTATTTCTAGACGTGCAAGCATTAAGAAATACTACTTAAATTTTTAACAATCGTGATGATTTTGCCTTATAATATTACCTTATCTAGCCTTAAGATTATCCTAGGCCTTTAATTAACCTTAATGTTTACAGTTCAATCTGACGATTACTAGTCAATCTTGAGTTATGTATAACATTTTTGTATCAATTATCACACAACGCGAAACGGATTTTTATAACCGACTTCAAATAAAGAATTAAACGAGAGACATTGGATCTGTGTTAAAAACTCAACATTTTGAAAATCACAACCTCAAAATTAAAGGGAATTTTACTATTAAATATTCAACTCGACTGAATATATAAATATATTTTAGCTGCCGATTTTTAACACACATAGCGCAAAGATTTACACAGAAAAGGGTAGAAGAAAGTAGATTTAAGACGGTTGTACAAATAAAAGAAAAATGAAAACCAGAAACTATTTGAAGAATACAACAAACAAAATCAGAATGACTACAAGCCTCTATATAAATCGATGAAACGTAATCAAAATGAGTTCAGCAGTTTCTGAGATTACCACTATCTAACGATACATATCACAAGACACGCCGATACCTTACAGTCACATACTCAGTCTTTACCAAAACTTGACTAGGATTGCTCCAAATTCACATGCAAAATAATTATATATTTAACATGTTTAAATGTTTTTGTCATATTAATGTAAAAAGAAAACTAGTTCTTTACGTAAATGTCACAAATGTGTGAGAAAATGTAAGACCCAGCGTATAGCATCTTATAAAGCAGCCCTTGAAATAAATTAAGGCTACGGCAATACATTTAAAAAGTTTAATATATAATAATTTGTATGTGCATTCATTTAAACATTCAACATCTCCCGCGTGTAATTTTTGAATAAAACATCTTCTAAAATATATAAAAAACTGCTTTGAATTTTACTAATCACTATTTTTACACATACTTATTAGAATTCATACGGTATTTTAACTTATAGATTGCTTGACTTACATTAAAGTGCATAGACGCTAGCAAGTAAACTTAATTCAAACAGCTCAAACTGTTTTAATAGTTTTTAAATTTTATTACAATACCATTAAGTCGGAAATACAACAAAGTATAATTATTTGACAAATCAGAAATTATATTCATAAGTAAATATATATTTTATGAAAATTGATCTCTACAATATTTTACTAAGTCATCAACAAATTAGTACATTATTAATTAGTATTAAAATCAGAATTACTAGATGAAAGATTCTACATTTTTACCCAAAAATATAGTATGACCAACTTATGTATATGTGCGGCAAAAACTAGAACTATTATCGATCAATATAAAATGACAGTATAAAATTTGTTTACAAAGAAACTAGCGCCGTTGTCGGAGGGCTTAGAAAGATGTTACGCTTAACGATATTAAAATGTTACTACGTTTGGCGCTTTGACTGCCAATCACGAATAACTATCGCATTCGTAACGTTCGGCGCGTTCGCGGCTCTCATTGGCCGGCTCTAGTGAACCAACCAATCAGAGTGCACGATTAACTATCGTATTCGTGTTATATTAGCGAGCGTGTAAGCCAATCAGAGCGTGCAAGCTCAAACTCATACTAAGCCCTCAGGTGCATAGTTAAATTAGTTTTAATATTAATTCACATTGCTTCCATACATTTTCCTATCTACATTATTTTATAACGATGGAAGCCAGATTTTTTAATAATTGGCAACCTTTTCCTAACATCCTAGTGCAATACAAAATCTTTTTATCCGACTGCAAATAAAGAATTATTCTATCCTTTATCATCTAGGTATCTTCAAAAACTCATTTTCTACACACAAGTTAACGTTTTTATTATAATTGAGAATATTATGATGATAAAATCGTTATAGAATTAGCAACCTCCAAGTTCGAAGTGAGAATATAGCGTATAGGCAGGCGTGCTCTATCGTTGGCCGCATTATCGCTTACTAAAAGAGTCGCCAACACGTGTCGTCCCCAGCGACGTAGGGTGGAGTAGCGCGACGTTGTCGGACTTTGGCTGTCATCAACGTCGCTGTGGACATCGACATATACTAATGGGCATGCCTTAAAGATGAGAATTGTGGCACTCTGAAAGAAAGAGAGGACGCGAAGTTTCGGTCTATCTTTATCTCTCTCAAAATAGTACCGTAGTTAAGACGTTATGAGCGAGAAAGAGATAGCGCTAGACCGAAAGCATAGGCCATCTCTCTCACTCTTTCAAACCAAAAAATTACTGCAGATTATACGCATACGGCATGTCTATTAGTATATGTCGATGGCTGTGACATAAGGCGCGCATTGTCACCTTATAATATGACTGGCGAAAATGGCAGGCTTCGTTCGACATGTCGATACGTGTAGTGGAACATTTGTCCTAAGGGACATACTCTAGGGTGTATCGTTTAGAGGTTAAACGATTAAAGAAAGGAAAAGAATACGCAGCCTCTCCGTGCATCAAATTAGTATAGTAAGAGATTGACATTATGTAATATTTTATTTAAATTTGCAAACCAATATTAAACTTATACGACTGTAACTTAGTTAACTTTACAAAACATGTACAAGTATTTATATTTTGAAAATAACCATTGCTTATTCGAATCACCCACAAACAAGGTCATTACAATATACAAAAATCGTTATAAAAGTTGCCATAATGATGTTAATGTTAATAAAATGGTAGTTTTTATTTGTTGATAGAATTATTTACTTTGGAAAATTATCCAAGAAGTTTTAACGAGTAATTTAACTCGTTGAGTATCGTCATTATAGACACAATTAAAGAACAATAGGTTGCGGTCACCGGTGACCGCTTGGTGTTTGACAGTTTAAACCAAGCATTGAAGAACGGAATTTCTTGAGATACAAACAAAAATATTTGACAAAAAGAAAGATTATACTGTTTTTGTAATAACTATCGTGAGACATACTAAATTAACTAAAAACCGCGCGCCGCTCATGAGGAAGAGCCCCTCTGTGGCTCGAAACTAGTAGAGTTTTTCTCAGTATATTCACATGAGTAACCCGCGATTTTTAGTTAAAGATTACACTGACTGACATTTATGTCAAATCCATAACATTACCTCTATTTACAACAATCGATTAATGTTCTAATCGTTTGTATAAAGGAGTCTGTCACACAAATAAATAACTTCACAAGGGAACTGACCAACAGACAGCCACTTTACTTCGTACACAATCATCTGTTATAAATCCCCAAAATAAGTTCTTACAAAAGTAGTCTCTAAACATAGGAAATAAGGTATTTAATGGAGTTAGTGCAGAGCGGCTACCGGTGACCACTTGGGGATCGATCCGTTTAAATAGTTACTTTCATAAACTATCGGTCTTTGATTTTAACAAGCGCCTTCTACGTGTGATCTTAAGACAGTAAGTTTTAGTATAGTTCTTCTTATTGGTGTGACCTTCACAGAGTACACAGGACCTTGAGAGGGCATGAAATATGGCATTAATTAATATTAATTTCTGATGGTGTCTTGTTCATCCGCGCGTCACTTAAGGAGCCAGTAGAATACCAGCAAAACCCTGTCCTGCACATGCTGAACTGGTCCCATTTCACGGCAGACTTGGGACATGAACATGTATCCATCAGTACCACTAATAAACTAACACTGTAATCTGTATCATGTCACTTGTTTTTTAGCGTGTGAACTAAAGTTTTTTGTGTTTCTTCCTTTCAATTGAAGTTTTAAGTAAAATGGTGGTTAATACCGGTAATGTAATGGTGGGTAGTGCGTGTGTGCGTGCCGGCGCGAGTGCCTGCGCCGCGGGCGGGCGGGCGGGCGCTAGAAGGCGCGCGCCAGGTACAGGCGGCCCGCAGTGCCGCGGTGCAGCTCCACGAAGCCGAGCTTGCTGTAGAACTGGTGCAGGTAGTGGTCTGTCGCGTTTATACATGCGTGGACGCCGCTAGCTCCTGTAAACAGAGAAATTTCAATATTTTAATTGATTGCACGATTTGCGCAATAAACATTAAGTGCGCAAAATATAAGGTAGTTGTTGCGCAGTGACGCGAAGTTGAAACTGTTGTTGCGCAAAGTAGCGGTTCGGTAATAACAACTTTTTGCGTGATCTACAAATGACAACACAACACAAACCATGGCGTTAAGTTTGAAAAGTCATTAACTTTTTTGGGTTAACTGGTTTCAATGAGCTTATCACATTGAGGCAAATAATCGTAAATTGTGTGGATGGCGAGCTGGAACAGTGTACGAGGGGTTGTAGTGTGTAGTACAGTACCGTGCGCCCGCAGCGCGGCCAGTAGACAAGTGAGCAGGCGGGCGGGCGCGAGCGGGTCGCGACAGTGGCGCAGCACGCAGCACGTGAGCAGGGCGGGGTGTGCGCGGGCCACGCCCTCCGGCGCCACGCACGCCGCGCCGAACTGGTGGAAGTGGCGGACGCACTCCTACACGGACAACGAAACAGAATTTAAATATTTCTTGACTTTGTAGTAAATGGTGAAGCAGAGAACGTGAGGGAGCGGTCCTCCTCTCGCCCCAAAACCGTCGCAGGAGACACTCTGGGAGTCGGGGATCGCGAGACGATCCCCGACCACCGACGTGCGTACTCAAAGAGCCACCAGACGATTGTCTGTCTATATGTGATTACATATGGGGCCCAATGGGTGCTAACATCTTTAGCTCGCTAGATAGCGCAAATGGCGCGTCCAATCACAGCAGCTGTCAAATACGTAACGTCCAATGGTGTTAGACTAATTCCTTATTGAACGAAGAACAAGAGTCACACACTAGCGCCATTTGATGAGCAAAAATGCGGTAAGCCATTTTCTGGCGGCAGTCGATGATTTATGGAAAATATTATCTAGAATGTCATTACAAACGAAATTGTCTATGAGCTCATATATGGAAATCTCCGTCTGGACTGAGTTATGAGCGTTGAAAGGAGCTGGAATCAAACATTTTACTTTCGTACATCAAATCACACCACAATATATCCATATTGCCAGTCGCTAATTTTTATTAGCTATTTTCTCTCAGTCGATAACTTGTAGGATGCTTCTAGGAGTTGTGTCATGAAGCTTCATGAGTGTCAGCTGTGGTACCATTGGTGGGTTGAGTAGTTGTAGCCGTCCAAACAACTAATAAAGTCTTTTTTTTTTGCCGTTGACTCCTGGTGGGAGACTCATCTACTTTATAGTTAGCATAATCTTTTGAAGAAAGCAAACCATCGAGTTTGTAAAGTAATGGACTATACGTCAGATGAGCGCATAATTTTTTCATATATTGTGATTATTTCAAATGCATCACTTTGTGACTGAATGACGATGTCTTTGTACAGAATCTTATGCTAGATGTAGATTAAAGTATTAACTGTAATTAGATTAGGTACTAATCGGAAGTAAGTCAGGAGAAGTAGACAGATAAATGATTTTTTCGTGTTTTGACGATTGTTACTCAATCCGCTACCGACGCCGCAGCTGACAAACATAGCATTTCATGATAGGGCTCAGTAAAATATTTTGCGGGTTTTTGACTAAGAGGAAATTGATCATGAAAATCTGTCATAGGCCATAAACCGTATACATATAAATTGAACACGCTAGCTAATCAAACGAAATGTTTTTTTTATTCAGCAGTGGTCAGTTAATGGTTCACTCTGTTCTGATTCCGTGGCCAAATAACAAAAAAAAAGAAAAAAAGAAATAACAAACAAAAAAAATAATTATAAAAGTCCACAAAAAGCTTTATTATATTCCTTGAAATCGTCTATAAATATTTATTACAAAATATTTCTGACAAGTAAATGAAGAAATATGCGTTGTGTACGGTCACTATCAACAAAATCACAGGAATTATATAGCACTATTTTCACATCTTTGAACTGATTTAACTCGGTTTGGACTGCGTTTTTGATATAAGATCCCGTACATTTTTTTGTTAAATCAGTTCAAAGATGTGAAAATGTGCTATATTATTTCTGTTATTTTGTTGACGGTGACCGTACAAAACGCATATTTCTTCACTTACTTGTCAGAAATATGTTTTTTAAATGTTTATAAACGATTTCAGGGAATATAATAAAGCTTATTGTGGACTTTCTTACTCTTTTTTTGAATTGTTTTTTTGTGTTTAGGCTGCGGAATCAGAACAGAGTGAACCATCTCTCAGTCGAAAACCCGCAAAATACTTGATTGAGCCCTATCACAAAAATCCTATATTTGTCAGCTGCGGCGTCGGTAGCGGATTGAGTAGCGTCGTCAAACCACGAAAAAATATTTTTCTGTCTACTTCTTCCGACTTACTTCCGATTAGTAACTAATCTAACTACAGTTAATACTTTAATCTACAGGTAGCACAAGATTCGGTACAAAGATATCGTCATTCAGTCACAAAGTGATGGATTATATTTCGAAAAAAATATGCGCTCGTCTGACGCATAGTCCATCGCTTTACAAAGTCGACAGTTTCCTTTCTTCGGCTACTATAACTATAAAGTAGATTAGTGTCCCACCAGGAGTCAACGGCAAAAAAATAATGCTTTATTACTTATTAGAGGTTTGGACGGCTACCACTACTCAACCCACCACTGGTACTACAGCTGATGCTCATGAAGCTTCATGACACAACCCCTAGAAGCATCCCGCAAGTTATCGACTGAGAGAAAATAGCAAATAAAAATTAGTGCCTGGCAATATGGATATATTGTGGTGTGACATGGTGTTCCATTGCCCGGCGTATAGTGGCGCGCAATTTGAAGTTAGGAATTGTGACAAAAATATGAATAATTTGAATAAAAACACCAAAGTAAAATGTTCGACTCCAGCTCCTTTCAACGCTCATAACTCAGTCCAGACTGAGATTTCCATATATGAGCCCATAGACAATTTTGTTTGTAATTTCATTCTAGATAATATTTTCAATTATAACATAAACCGTAATCAGTTTAATAAGTAATTTTAGTACTGTTAGCATGTTTCTACTTTCCGTTACTAATCGTCGAAACCAGTAATTGGCTTCTTATTGCATACTACATTCTATTTAATCAAATTGTATAGCTGTTGGTTTTCCAAATGTAAAAAAAAAAAATAAATAAAAAAAAAATTATCGACTGCCGCCAGAAAAAAGAAAGGCACCAGTTTTAGTTAATGCCCTTTAATGGATGTACTAGAATCAGAACGAAGTCACTCAAACTTAAACAATGAACGACTGCAGTGCCAATGCGTATGTATGAAATTAACGAATGCGTTCAAAGTTCAATTGCATAATTGGGTACTTGCCAACTAGTCAAATTCAATACTTTTTTCGAACTGTAAAAAACTACAGTTTTCTATGAATTTTGTACGAGATTGTGTATTGCGACGTCACGTTTTTTTAGCGCCAAACAACATAAATATTTGCTGGAAAAATACTAAATTGAAGTTGATCATAAAATCAATTAATGAAAGTGTGATTATTTTTTAAAATTTTAAATAATTTATTTTTGATTAAACTGTCAAATACCTCGAGGACACCGGTGACCGCAACCTATTGTTCTTTAATTGTGTCTATAATGACGATACTCAAAGAGTTAAGGAAAGTACCCAATAACCCTTATAGAGCTAAAAGCTAAAAGCTTTCGTACCTTATAGAGCTAGAAAAACTGAATACAAGTAGAATGTTCTAACAAAAAACACATTAAACTGTCAAACACCAAGCGGTCACCGGTGACCGCAACCTATTGTTCTTTAATTGTGTCTATAAATACGGTACTCGACGAGTTAACTTAAGATTTCAACTTGTACTACGTACCTTGGCAGCCTGACTAAGGTCCTGTCTCTCAGTGAGTTGTTCCGGGTACTTGTTACACATCTCAGGTATCCAGGCGACCTCCTGTCGCTTGTAGAACTCTTTGCTGTTCAGCACTGCGCAGGCGTAGCCTACTATCTCGGGTTTCACACCTGCTCAAATATATTCACAGTCTAAAGCATTTATTTCAATTAAACCATATTATATATGAAACTTTTGGAATGTCCATATATCCTTATCCTTACTTTATATTATAAATCTGAAAGTGAGTTTGTTTGTTTGTTCCGCTTTCACGCCGTAACTACTAAACCGATTGCTTTGAAATTTTGCAGACGTACAGTTAGAAGTCCAGATTAAATAATAGGGTATTTTTTATCATGGAAAAATTTGATATTTCCGAGGGAAAACCAAAGTATTGGTATAGATGGCGCTGTGTGTATTGGTATATGTCACATAGGTTACTTTTTATCCTTTTGTGACGCGAGCGAAGCCACGGGTAAAAGCTAGTAGATAATAATTCTTTTATACGTTTAAGAAACCGTTAGTTTAAAAAAAATAAAAATATGCAGTCATATTTGCGTAGATGGATATTTTGTATCGGCCCATAATTGATCGAATTATTTAAGCAACAGTGAGTAAAGTTCCCTAATAAAAGGAGAATCCTCCGACCAAGCGAGGTGTTCGTACATGGTGGGCTTTCTGCCCAACAGTTGCTCGTGGGGATCTTCTATCTATCTTGATCCGTATGTAAACTTCACATGTACTTCAGGATTTGTGACGTCATCCGTTTTTTTACTCGTCGATCGTCTATGTGCTGACATCTGTCATTCATTTGTGTCATGTTTCGCCACATGTATCAACTATAGTAACTTTAAACCTACCACAAAGTTAAGTTCGACAGCCCAATAATCTGCCGTCACCACTCGACACTGGCAGTATAGTCGACAACACTGTATTGGAGACTCCGTAATAACATTACGCCTTTTATCCCCAAAGGGGTAGGCAAAGGTGCACATTACGACACTTGTATGTGTCACACAATGCCACTGTACAATGTAACACCCACTTTTCACTATATATGTTACGAGTCCCATTTAATATACCGGGCACATTTCCTGACTCCGTGCTACTACTGAGATTTTTAAAAACCCAGTAATACTTTGCCCGACCCGGGAATCGAACCCGAGACCTCTTGACCAGCAGTCGCACTTGCGCACACTCGGCCAACGAGGCTGTCTTGGAGACTCCGTTGCCAAAAAAAAAAAAAAAGAAAAAAAAGTTATAGTAACTTACCGTTGACTCTAGGTTCAGTGGTTCGTTTTTCATCATCGTCTCCTGAAGGGTCCACCTCCTGCGGCACGCACTCCTCGTCGTCCTCTATCACCATGCATAGCTCGGGGTATAGTGTCAGGAATGGGGCTACTAGCCTGGTAACAAATATTATTTGTTAAAACAATAAATTGGGTATGACTTTTATTTTGTTCATGGTTGGTGGATTAGCTTGTTTGGAACTAGGCAAGGTCATCCGAGTAGTTTTTAAGTTTGATTTATTATTGATAAGTAAAAAAACATCTCTAGTAATTTATTTTATAAAAAGTTAATTTTAACATTAATGTATGATCTCTTTGCATAACCAAGTGACAACGTAAAGAAAGTGAACAATAGGTGTTACTCAATTCAATAAAAAAATTAATAATGTATAGGTTACCTGTCCGCTGGTAAAGTTTGCAGGTCGCTAGGAAAGAGGTCGCTGCAGTCAGATCCATCTCGACACGTCTTGTGGCATATCGCGCATACCTATCACAGATAAAACAACAAATACATTGAAAAATAAAGCTTATACAAAGAACAATACCCTTCCTTCAGTTGGAATAAAAATGACAATCTTTTGCAATGTAAAAAATCAAAGGCTTTTTTTAAGGGGGGAAAATCATCGAATGACTGCTCCCGCCTGGGTGAGGCGGAAGGGAGTGTCAGACTCTTACTGACTAAAACCACCGTAAAAATCAAAGGCTCACGAAGCGAATTTATACCACGCCCGCCGCGGTTGCGATCCCGCAGTCATTGTAGAAAACAGATATGTATATAAAAAATTAAAGCATATTTCACGACGTGTTTTACGCCCGCGGTGTTTGCGATTGTTTGCAGCTCCCACTGCACCACTCTGCGACCGGTTGGCGGGCGATCGCAAAGAAAGAAGGAAAGAAAAATGGTTCATTTGCACACCATCACAAAGTACAATAACACACAAAAAATTAAAACAGTGAAGACGGCGCAAAAAGGCCAGAGCTCAGCTTAAATGCCGTGACACGAGTGCGCTCAAGTCGCGGCGCTGGTTTTCAGCACTTGCCCGTGGCGATAATATATAATACAAAGGGACGGCCGGTTTGGTACTTAAGTGATAGTTTAACCGCCCAAGCCGCCCGTCTGTTTGGAACTTATGTACGACTAGCTTTTACTCGCGGCTTCGCTCGCGTCACAAAAGGATAAAAAGTAGTCTATGTGACATATACCAATACACACAGCGCCATCTATACCAATACTTTTGTTTTCCCTCGGGAATATCAAAGGGCATTGACTAAAATTGGTGCCTTTCTTTTTTCTGGCGGCAGTCGATGATTTATGGAAAATATTATCTAGAATGTCATTACAAACGAAATTGTCTATGGGCTCATATATGGAAATCTCAGTCTGGACTGAGTTATGAGCGTTGAAAGGAGCTGGAATCAAACATTTTACTTTCGTTTTTTTATTCAAATTTTCATATTTTTGTCACAATTCTAACTTCAAATTGCGCGCCACTGTATGCTGGGCACAGAAACACCAAATCACACCACAATATATATCCATATTGCCAGTCGCTAATTTTTATTAGCTATTTTCTCTCAGTCGACAACTTGTAGGATGCTTCTAGGAGTTGTGTCGAGAAGCTTCATGAGTGTCAGCTGTGGTACCATTGGTGGGTTGAGTAGTTGTAGCCGTCCAAACATCTAATAAAGTATTTTTTTGCCGTTGACTCCTGGTGGGAGACTCATCTACTTTGTAGTTAGCATAATTTTTGGAAGAAAGCAAACCGTCGACTTTGTAAAGTGATGGACTATACGTCAGATGAGCACATAATTTTTTCATATAATATGATTATTCGAAATGCATCACTTTATATGAAACGATGTCTATGTACAGAATCTTATGCTAAATGTAGATTAAAGTATTAACTGTAGTTAGATTAGGTACAAATCGGAAGTAAGTCGGGAGAAGTAGACAGAAAAATGATTTATATCGTGCTTTGACGACTGCCACTACTCAATCCGCTACCGACGCCGCAGCTGAAAAACATAGCAACCTATCATGAAATGATAGGGCTCAGTTAACTATTTTGCGGGTTTTTGACTGAGAGAAAATTGATAATGAAAATCTGTCATGGGCTATAAACCGTATACATATAAATTGAACACGCTAGCCACTCAAACGAAATGTTTTTTTTTTCTTCGGCAGTGGTCAGTTAATGGTTCACTCTGTTATGATTCCGTGGCCTTATAACAAAAAAATAAAAAATAATAAAAAAAGAAATAACAAACAAAAAAATAATTATAAAAGTCCACAATAAGCTTTATTATATTCCTTGAAATCGTCTATAAACATTTATTACAAAATACGATCTGACAACTAAATGAAGAAATATGCGTTGTGTACGGTCACCATCAACAAAATCACAGGAATTATGTAGCACAATCTCACATCTTTGAACTGATTTAACTCGGTTTGGACTGTGTTTTTGATATAAGACCCCATATATTTTTTTGTTTGTAATGTTATTCTGCATCAGTTTATCCACATCCGATCAACTGCCGCGAAAAAATGAAAAGACACCACGCTCCATACAAATTTGGTCATTGTCATTTGTCCGGGTTAAAAAGTACCCTACTATTTAATCCGGACTTCTAACTTTACGTCTGCAAAAATTCAAAGCAATGGGTTTAGTAGTTACGGCGTGAAAATGGAACAAACAAACAAACTCACTTTCCGATTTATAATATTATAGTAAGGATTAGTAAGGATAATCAACCGCCAAGTTAGCGAACGATAATTGAAACCGTGGCGGCTGCGGGTCCGCAAAGAACTGCGGGTGACAATCACGTCGTGAGTCCGTAGCGTAAATAGGGTCTTTTTTTTTTTTTTAAGGGGGGAAAATCATCGAATGACTGCCCCCGCCTGGGTGAGGCGGGAGGGAGTGTCAGACTCTTACTGACTAAAAACCACCCCGTTCCTTCTCCTGCACGTCGAGCCGGAGCCCCGGTTACCCGTTAGGTTCTCCGCGACTCCGAATCGGCATCGGCCCTATTGGGCCCCATCTGTGGTGGTCTGATGGCTCTTTGAGGCGCGCGCGGAACGCTCGGGTCTGTTTCTGGTCGGACGGGGAGCCACCCATGCTCGCCGTCCGCAGGCCCGCGCTTACGGTGGCCGGAGATCGTCCCGCGATCCCCGACGCCCGGTGTGTCCTTCGCGATGGCTGGGTTGCGAGGAGGCAGCGCTTCGCTGCCTCACGCGTCCCGCCTCCTCCTTAGCTAGCATGACTGCTTCGCAAAAGGAGGAGACGGCATCCCAATCCCCCTCGCTCCGCATCATGGCCTGCACTAGGCCCGGACGCGAGAGGTCGCCATCGCCGATCACTTCCCTGAGGACACGGCGGTGCTCAGCCCACGAAGGGCATTCTCCCACCGTGTGTTCCACCGTGTCCTCAGGGCGGTCCTCGCAGTGATGACACCCGGGCGTTTCCTCCCGCCCCATCAGACACAGGTACCTCCCGAAACTTCCATGTCCGGTGAGGACCTGCGTCAGGCGGTAGGTGAGGACGCCGTAGCGTCTCTCAAGCCACTCCTCAAAGAGGGGACTTACCGCTGCAATGGCAGCGAGCCCAGTAAATAGGGTCTAGCGATAAAACTACAAAAGTAAAAACCATCTTTACACTACAGTATTAAAACTACATTCTACAAATTAAGTAAAAACGCGGGTTACTCACGTGAATATACTGAGAAAAGCTCTACTAGTTTCCAACCACAGAGGGGTTCTTCCTCATGAGCAGCGTGCGCGGTCGCGGCGACGTCGCGCACGCTGCTCATTCACGTGAGTAACTCGCGTTTTTACTTAATTTAGTATGTCTCACGATAGTTATTATAAAAACATACATTCTACAAGGTCTATTTTAGCAAAGCTTTTATTACATACATATTCCAAAAAGACTCACCGCTTCTTCATCAGCAGCTGAATAAGGTCTAATCGTCAGTGGTAGTATAGTGGGAGGAGGTAACGTCCTCAACGCATCGCTGGTACATTCCACTGGTAACAATCTTCTTAAATCTGCTGTAAGTCCACCTCGGAAGACCCAGGGCTCTTGAGCACCACTTTCGAACGCCTCACGCCAGCCTTTCGAGAACCCTGTGTGATATATAACGTAGTTTAGATAACAGGTCTTCAAATTCAAATTTCTTTATTCTGGATCACAGGTTTTACAAAATACAGGTCTTAATTATATACAACTAGATTTTATCCGCGGCTTCGCTCGCGTCACAAAGGATAAAAAGTAGCCTATATGACATATACCAATACACACAGCGTCATCTATACCAATAATTTCGTTTTCCCTCGAGAATATCAAATTTGTCCGGGTTAAAAAGTACCCTATTATTTAATCCGGACTTCTAACTTTACGTCTGCAAAAATTCAAAGCAATTGGTTTAGAAGTTACGGCGTGAAAGCGGAACAAACAAACAAACTCACTTTCCGATTTATAATATTAGTATAAGCACAAGCATAGTAAGCATGAGGATTAAGTAGATCAGTCATGTCTTGCCCTTTGGGCATACAATAGTCAGTACAAAAGTCAATCAAACAATTATTAAATGTCATATAAAAAACAAAATGCACACACATCAAATAGGCCACCATCATGACTGAGGGAGATTATATTGAAGCAGTGATTGTCTTTTGTAGAATATTAGCACTTATCCACTAACAGATCATGAAGACTCTTTTTATGATCCGTAATTATTCTTCTTATTAAGGTTTTTTATTAATAAAGTTTGAATGTTTAAAAAGGTCTTTTGAAGATGGTAAACGCCTAATACCAGCCTTTCGAGAATCCTGCGTAATTTAGGACGTAGTTTAGATGACGGGTCGTTTTAAAATGGTTATAACCTTAAGCCAGCTTCTCGAGAACCCTGTGCGATATTGGGGGTACTTTAAAATTAACAGCCTTTAAAAATTGTAAACACTTCGTGCCATCCCTTCGAGAACCCTGTATGTGTTTTATGATGATGATGATAAGATGGTTTGTGGTAGATAATAAAATATAACTTACATGTGTAGCTTCCTTGAGTGTTATTCGCAATGTTTTGAGGATATTTGCCGAGTTCTGTAAAATAAAATAATAGTTTATATTACGCAGAAAGTATATCGTTAGACATTTATCAAATTCGTTTACAGATATTTACTGAAAAGCATGAAAGTGAGTTAAGTGTGGGAGAGCCATGATTCGGCACGAATGGGCCGGCTCGACTGGAGTGATACCACGGCCGAGCAGAAAACCATAGAGAAGCAACGCTTGCGTTGTTTCGCGTCGTGTGAGTGAGGTTACCAGAGGTTCATTTAGGGGGTAATTCTCAATCTTCTCAATCCCAGTATCCCCACAATCTTCAAATTCACAATCCCCAAAAGGCCGGTAACGTACTTATAACGCCTTTTGTGTTTCAGGTGTTGATGGGCGACGCCGATAGCTTACCATCAGGTGATCCAATCCCATAAAAAAGTAGAAGACAGTTTGATGCTGCTTGAAATATGGGTGACGTCAACAAATTATCTGTCATTTACAAAGTTAATGAAAATGACGGTGATGAAAAAGGTCATAAAGAAGTAATAATGAATAAGTCTACCAAGCCACCGCAGGAACCCGTCCAGTAGCGCCAGTACAGCGCAAAGTTCCCAGACGTACGGCTGCAGCTCTGCATGCAGCTCCTGGTTCTGCGCCGCCGCCAGCCGCCGCGCCAGCCGCCGGGTGCGACACACCCACCATGCGAACCTACTTCGCCGACGACGCCATTCACTCGTCTGTATATAACAATTGTTTTTCGATCTTACTAACGCGTTTGATAGTATTTACTCGATTAATAAGATAATACTAAACATTTTCTAATATCGTGGTATACAATTAAAACATTTTACCGTAACACTATATAAAACTAATATAAATAGAGTACTAATCAGACAAAGTGGACATGAAACTTATGGGAGTTCCACAGGGTAGCATACTGGGTCCAACCCAAGTTATAACAAGTTTTACCTTAGTAGCCTACATTTTTCAAAGATTTCTTTCCTCTTTTCCAATTAACCATAGAATAATTTATTTTTAAACAAAATATCTAAATACCTCAAAACACATACCTCAGGCTTATTCCCTCTAGGCAGTAGACTCGCCGCATGCGTAGTCAACCAGTTGAAGTCATGTAACAGTCTTAGACCACGGGATCCATGTTCAAATGGCAGGTAGAAGAGATCACATAGTAATAGCAGATCATCTGGCACTAACGCATTGGGATCTATTGAAGGATCTTCGTTGTCCACGGGCCTGGGAAAAAGGAGATTGGTATTACATGTTTGAAGGACCAGTTTAGTTTGACCTGTATTTTTAGAAAAGATAGGATTTAGAAATAGTCAATCACTACTCACTCGTCAACGGTTTCTGTGGGTTCAGCCGGTTCCACCATCATATCTGTACTGAGAGGACTATGACTCGGTTCTACTTGCATCGACCCATTCTGAAATAAAAGGTCAATTTTATTATCTCATGAAATAATATTTATAATAATTATATAATGTTTATAATGATTTCTGAATAATTTTTGCTAATAACTTAAAACAAATAGGCCCCGTTCATGACCCCTCTCTGACACTCCCTCTCGCCTAAGCCAGGAAAAGTCATATAATAACTTTCCGCCCTGATCATTTAAAAAATCAAAGGAATAATACTAAACAGCGGGCTTATTGTTCCTACTAATAATACTTCTGTAATAGTAACATTTCGACAACAATCGCACAAATAACTCTATTCCTGTTCCTTTCTACACTACTTTAGTCAACTAACCTCACTCATTCCATCGTTCATGATGACGTCAGGATCAGTGGCAGCAGTGGACGGAGGGTCCACATCGAGCGGCTCCACTCCGGGCTCAGTGTGACGACTCGGACTTAACGTTTGAGGTGTGTCTAGACAAAAGAAGATAGAAGTTCGACTAAACAACATAACATCACGCCTTTTATCCCCGAAGGGCAGGCAGAGATGCACATTATTCCACTGTACAATGTAACCCCCACTTTTCACTATTTATATTATGAGTCCCATGTAATAGGGGGTTAGCCTATTGACATTTCTAATATACATCAACATCAATAATAGACATCAACATAAGAGGACATAATAATAATTATATTTAAGACAAATACAAACTCACCACCAACACTCATCTCCCCGTTCCTCTGTTCCGCAGGAGGATCCACATCATCAACAATGATCTGGTCACCATCTTCTCCTTCCTTATCTTTCTTCATGTCAAAGCTGGTCTCCAAAATACTATCCGTTAGTAATGTATCATTACTATTATCTGATTTATCCATTTCATGATTATTCTTGTTCTCACTCCCTTCTAATGCTTTCAAACCTAGGATTGGGACGGGGAGGGTCGAAACGGGGATTTCCGAAGGTAATGATATGTTTGAACTCGCTATGGGGATTATCGGATTGGGGATAGATTCGTTTAGGATAACTTTTGTTGGGGATACTAGGGAGTTCATTACTGGGTTCGGTACGGGGTTGAATGTTTCGATTGGTGATACCTGTTGAACAATTTTTTTGTTAAAATAAGTTTTTTTTTGTGATAACATGAAATTACGACCTAAAGGGCATATAATAGACTCGCATATAATAGAAGCAATACGGTTTATTTTTGCCTGTTAAATATTTGATAACCATACACCAGACATAAAGACTGAACTCTGTACGAACTTACGAAAATGGTTTAAAATTTTTGCCACTGCAATACTTCGAAAGCAGTTAATCTCGTAACCAACGAGGCCTAGCCTATGTTGATTACGAAAACGAATGTTTTTTATTATTAAAATGTCGTAGAGCCATGCTTGGGCACAAAAGAGCCGGCTCGATCGGAGTGGCCTCACAGAAAACCGACGTAAATGCGTTAGATTTTTTTTTTATGTGGCCTCACAGTATTTTCTCCTGTGTCGTGGGTGCGTTCACAAACCCAGAGACTCAGACCCGGAAAAACAATATGTGGATAGAGGTGTTCCGTGCGAGAATCGAACCCGCGCTACGTTACGCGGCAGCCGGTTGCCCAGTCACCACGCCAACTGTGCAGTCTTATGTTTGTATTCTATATATTATTATATTTATCTATAGTTACCCTAGTAGACAGTATAGGGCGATCATTAGCCGCCGAACATCCATCAGCGAGTGCCTGTAACTGCGAAGTATTGACGGTGGGTATGGCGGGGGCCATGTCTGCCGTGCTGGTGGTCGAAGTATTGCTGGTGGCCGTCACTAGAGACATGCACGTGTTCACTGATGGCAGGATCGGGATGATCGGCACTGGTGGTACTGAGGACAAAATGTACTTCATGTTAGTTTTTGTACCTCTATCTATACATAGAAAAACTGCTTCAAAAGTACTCACAAACGTGACTATAAAAAGTATTCTTTTGTGTTATTTAAAACTTTAGCTAAACTTTATGTTCATTTTTAGTTTAATAAGTAAAATGCATTGGACCTAATTTCGAGCCCTGAGGAACACCTGTACTACGCTTGCGTTTCATGTATCTCGATTTATTTTTTGCAAAAACAGATATTGTAGAACATTAAAATAAGCAACCAACATATGAGAATAATATTCAAATAGTGACAAATCAACTTTTCTGTAATAAAAATATACTGACTATATCAAATGCTTCACTAAGGTCGAAAAAGTTAACGTACCTGTGATGGTAGGCTGGGGCTTAATCACGGGACCTGTAGCAGACTTTGGAATGGAAAACTCTGGTAGCCATTCGTTGATCGCTTGTCTGTAAAAAGAAATAACATGGTAAGGACTAAAAAAGTTAAAAATAGAAAATTTCTACGATGACTTTCCAGAACGATATTCATAAGAGAATCTTTGAATGAAATGTTTGTTTTCCAACTTGTCTTACCTCAGAGCTTGTCGATGATGATACACGTGTTTGCCTAGAGTGAGAGGTGCTTCGTCTTCACACACGCCTTGTTCGCTTTCTCTTTCCAATTTGATGTCCCAGGAAACAGCTTCCACTATAATGAAAAAATCTCTTTCTTTACTTTTTCGAATATAATACTTAATCACATTGAAATAACTACTGAAATAAAACTAAGAAATTATGAGTATAGCAATATATCTGTGGCTTTATGCTTGCCATTTGAAAACAACAAACTATAAAGTGATATACTGACTATGCGCAGGAGCATCCAGACTGCAGCTGGCCCAGTGCGCGAGCGTCCAGATCGGGATCATGTTGGCGTTATACTCGCAGTTCGGGTTTGTTAGTACACCGCGGAGTAGCGGGATCAACTCGGGAGAACGTCCGCAATATGGACCTGTAGAAATAATACATCCTGTATTAAGAAATCATCTACCTCTCTAAAATCAGAGTAGTCACCGGTGACCGCTCTCCACTATCCCTATTATAGACCTCATTTCCGATGTTTAGGTAGTCCCTTTTGTATGAACAAATTTTGGAAATTTATATCAGGTATATATATGAATTGTGTACGAGTTAAAAGGTAGACGTATTTTATGGTTATTACATTTTACATGAACCAATTTGCGTGAGCCTGTAATGTAGTGTAGTTTACCTTTACAAACCAGTTACAGGCACAAAGAGCAGTTTTTTTTTGTGATACTTTTTAAGTGAGAAAAATCACCCCAATGATTTCTCCTGCCTTGGTTGGGGCGAGATGCAGTGTGGCTGGACTCTTACTGACTAAAAACTACTCCGTCCCTACCCTTGCTCTTAGACCCTGAGCCCTGGTAACCCGTTAAATCTTCCGCGGCTCCGTATTTTTAATGTTACTACTACTAGACAAATTAATGGTACTAGAACACATTTTTACTTGTGGCACTTCTAGACGTAGGTACACAGGCAACACCAATGAGTAGTGGCGTAACTACAGTCGGCAAAATGCCACGAGCCCCGAGCTGAAAGTGGCATTTAGAGGACTTCATTCGAATTCTTTTTTTTATTGGTAATGCCATCCGATGTATTTGCCTCGGGCCTCGAATGTTATAGTTACGCCACTGCCAATGAGAAACTTTACAATATATAAAATTGATACTTCTACTACTCTCCATATTATTAGATACCATTCAACTTTAACAACTGGACTTACCCAAAAAGATTCGTTTCTGGTCATAATCGTTAGCGTGTAGGTTGTCCCAGATGACAGGTGGTCTCCGTAGCACCTGTGTGATCTCCTCTATCGCTTCTGTTGTTAGTACTTTGGATATCACTTTGGGACCTGGAGAAGGAAGGGGCTTATTAATCATTTGTTGATTTGAAACTATGGTATTAAAAAATAATAAAAACGTCAATTATTATGTTTTCGGCTCACTCACGTAATGAGCAGTATTCCCCGACATGCGACGCGGCAACTGTTTGCTGAATATGAGCTTTTAGCATGGCTTGAACCTAGTCGAGTTACTCTTCAAACAGTTACGTGAGTAAGCCGAAAACATAATAAAACTTGAAATTTCGTAGGAATGATCAGCGCAAATATTATTTGGTTTAGGAAAACTGTCTTTGGGATTATGGATGTTAATTATCTATCAATCACAGAGTCTGAAATGGATTTTGGCTGATAATGCGACGCGATGAATAATTTAGTTCGTTTAAACAGATCATAAAACTCAAATCCTTCAAAAGACTACGTAGTTAAAAACTGCGCAAATAAAATCTACATCTTTGTATCTTTTTATAGAGTCATAAAATAGCCAAAGTTCATTGACCTTAGACAAAAACAATGGAAAATTAGACGCGTGTAGTCAGCTATGTCGTAAAATTAAACATTACAATGAGCCAATGGAAAGCTATAATGAATGAATGAAACATTTAACCTTTGTATCCAGAATATAGATATATAAAATACACACTATTTATTTTCTACTAGCTACTTCCGCGCGGTTTCACACGCTCTGCTCAGCTCCTATTGGTCGTAGCGTGATTTTTTATAGCTTATAGCCATACTCGATAAATGCGCTATCAAACACAAAAATAATTATTCAAATCAGACTTGTAGTTACGGAGATTAGCGCGTTCAAACAAACAAACAAAAAAACAAACTTCCGCTTTATATAATAGTATAAGATATTAGATTTTGTCTCGTCTAGCGGCAGGCAAGAAGTAAAACATTGATAGGAAGATTTTTTTAACAAATAGATCAACAGTTTCTAGAATAATTAATATTAAAGACAGAATAAATATCGAAAAATGACTAAACCGAATTTCATAACATTTATATCATAGTATGAAGACTTAATGGAGCGATTGGTGGTGATAGGCAAAATAGTGTGGTAACGTCCCCGTGGTACGTCGCCAAAAAGATGGATAGATCTTATAAAAAATATGCTACATACATCTGAAGCTCAATCGTGGAGCGCACGAGGAATACCAGTGTATAATATTATACACTGGTCTGGCTACTATAGAGACTACTGTCAAGATTGTAGGATTGAGAAGAAGAATGAAGTCTAAGAACTCTTTAAATAGTCCTTATAGACATTTAGTAGATAAGGTAAATATCTTGGTGTGACGATAAAGAGCTTTAATTAAATAACATAATATAATTGGGTACTTGCTTAATCAAAAATAAACTATTTTGATCGTCCAATACAATAAAATATTAAAAAATAATCACAATTTCATTAATTGATTTTATGACAACTTAATTTTGTATTATTACAGCAAATATTATTTAAGAAATAATTATGGTGTTTGACGCTAAAAAAACGTGACGTCACAATACACAATCTCCTACAAAATTCATAGAAAACTGTCGTTTTTGACATTTAGAAAAAAGTATTGAATTTGACAAGTTAGCAAGTACCCAATTATTATTACTGATCCTCTTTAAAGTAAATAATTATAATTTTACAACATTTCATCGAAATCAAATCATTAACGTCAATAACACAAAAACAAACTTTTGAAAGTCAAACAATCAAATTAAAATACGTCTATCTGTCGGTCAGTTCATCACGTCTCAATGGTTGATGACGTCACCATAAAAACAAATTAAATAACGCATGCTAAACATGTTAATAGAGGTCGGCCTTTTCCATTCCATTAGCGTTGATGTGGTTATTAAATATTATTGTTTACTATGGTGTTATTCAGCTCACGGGATACTTCGTAACATATTTTCCTTTATAAATAAAATAGTGTCTTTTATTCCCAAGGGTAGGCTGATATGCTTACTGATTACACACCGTGAACTATGTTCGTTTTCGTCCCAAAGTAAAATTGTTGTCTTGGTAATACAATAGCTTTACAAACAAAGCAAATGTTTAAAACAAAAAATAAATGCTGTAAGCAAACTTCGAAAGCGCATACGAACTCATAGTAAGTACAATATCAAAACGTCACGCCATGTTATTCTCAACGTGTGTAATGTTTTAAAATAAACTACCAGACGGACATTAAAATAAAAATTAGTCATTATATATTTATTTTTATATTATATTTTATATAACACATATATATATATATTATTATTTACATATTATATTTATGTTTCATATTAGTATGTAGTATTGGTATGTAGTTTATGTACTAGGATACCTTTATACATATGTACGCACATTTATCACGCTCGTTTTTATTTTTTTAAACCTACTGTAACACTTCTCTGCATCACCCTATGGTTGGCTGGTAGAGACCATTCGGCATTAAGTCCGCCATTGTATACAGTTGTACATAAAGTGTTAAATAAATAAATAAATTTACCGCCATTGTATACAGTTGTACATAAAGTGTTAAATAAATAAATAAATTTACCCTATTGACCAACTAAGTAAAATTATATAAACTGCAGCTACATATAAGCAAGCCAACATACCAGTCCACATAATATCGATCTGCTGCGAGAGTTTAGTGCCGAGCGTGTTCAGATACTCAGAGCTGTTGACGGTGGGCACCGCGCGCGTCGAACAATACTGGGTCGGACACAGGAGGAAGCGGGGGCAGCCAAGGTGCTGGTGGATCTCGTTCGTTACTGACACCTGGGGGTTGAGAGAACCATGTCATCAGTTGCCATCATTAAGAGCCTCGATGTCCACTGCTAAACAGTGGAGAACGTCGTAAAAAATCGTGTAGCTGTGTTAAAAGACAGACGTGGCGGGTGCCTTGTTTTTAATATGCGGAAGAGCCATGGTTCGGAACGAATGGGCCGGCTCGACCGGAGTGATACAACGGCCTCACAGAAAACCGACGTGAAACAACGCTTGCATTGTGAAACGCTTGCGTTGTGTTTCGTCGTGTAGGGTTACCGGAAGCCCAATTACCCCGCTACCCCATGTACACAATCTCCGAATTCCCAACAACCCTCAAATTCCTAATGCCCAAAAGGCCCAGGGCTTTTTGTTACCGGTAACGCACTTATAAAGACTCTGGTGTTTCGAGTGATCATGAGCGGCGCTGAATGCTTACCATCAGGTTTAGCCATCATTCATCTGCTCGTTTACCGGATTATGTCATAACAACAAATGTATCAAGATATAATGTTAACATCGTAAGAACGACTATTAGACGTAACTAGTAAAGAACAATTCAAAGTTAAAGATTTAATTGGATAAAGAGAGTAAATTTTCAATTGAATTTACTAAAAATAATATTGTGTAACCAACAGATTTTCATTTACTAGACAATTCGATGGTAAATTAAGTAATCTAGGCCATACAATATTCAGTCAGGCATGCTTGTACTTAATGAAGGCCAATAGTACTGGCCTACAGTATAAATGACTAACTACAACTCAGTAATGAGCTTAAAAATAATAATCAAATAATAAATTGCAATATATCCATTAAATTGGCCACTAGAACTGATAAAAATATTTGTTACGTCACTATCTGTCAGATCAGCTTGTTTAAACAAAGTCAAACTAAACTCAGTAGACATACTAGATGTCCCTTGTCCAACGGTCGACTTGGCCTACAAACAGCAGTTTTTTTTATAAAGCCATGTTTTGCTGAGTATTTATATTTTAGAAACTTACATTTCCTAAAGTTAATTAGTACCTATAATACGTCAAGCGTGTCTTTGCATTGTTCTCACATATATGTACAGTATTGGAATATGTATCAGAGACATTGTAGATTTAGTAATGTAGTAGATGTAGATTGTACATACTTTTTTTAAAAAGAGTAACGAATGGAGTTTCTTGCTCGTTCTTCTCCATTCGAATCTACATTTTAGAATGAGCACCTAGCTTCACCTAGCTTCATTGGCGGACTGACTGACAGACTATTATTTATTTTGTATTTGTTGATGTTTCAAAAGTACCAAATTATGGTTTAATTGAAATAAATGCTTTGACTTTGTTAAGTTACTTACTTGAGCGTGTGCAAAGCTCTGGAAGATCTGTTTATCTGCCTCACTCATTTCCGGCTCAATGTCATCGAAGAGGAGAGCGAAACATGTGCAGCCAAATTGGGACACCTTGAAATTAAAATAAAATTTATAACACAAATAGATTACTTGATGTAACCATGTATTGTTCCCAGTTAAGAATTGTATTCAATAACATTTGGATTTAAGATTACAATGTGGTAAATTTCACAACTAATGAAAAGTAGGTCCATTGCAAATATATATGAACAACAATTAAGGTATTGAACCGCCTTGAAGATTTTCTCCTGTGTTGTACAAACATACAACTTTACATACACATTATGACATTGTTTCAAATTTGGACCTGAAACAACAATTTGTGGATCACACAAAGAGTTGGTCTATGTAGGCACCTGTCACATGTTACACGGCAGCCGAATACCCAGCCACCGTGACAACCATACTCAAACAGGCATCAGTACAAAATATGAAACAATATGTAGGATAAATGTGTTCTTTATAAGAGAGATGACTGGTATCCTCAAGTAAAAGTGTCAGTTTCAATAAAACTATAAAAAAATGAACATTCACCTGTTCCAATTTCCTTTTCAAAGTAGTTATTTCCTTTTGACTACTGTACGTAATATCCAGTCCGGGAGACAGTGCGTAACAGAATATTATGCCCTGAGCCTTTGCAGCGGATATCAGTGAGGTCAGATGTTCAGCCTCCTCCACAGTATACAACTCTCTCCAGTAGGCTCGGTGCTTGTAGTCGTCTTTCGGAGCGTAGACATACATGTCCATGCCCCATTTTTTTAATCTGTCAACAATTTTGCAGTTATTTTTTTTTTGGTTCGATGTTTTTTATAATATTCTTACGATATGCAGTAATAGAAGATTAAAAATCATGAATTAAAATAAATTATTGATGACAAAATTAAATGTTGATATGATGTAACATTTAATACGGCATGGGGTCTCGGTTTCGATTCCCGGGTCAGGCAAGTATCACTGGGTTTTAAAAAAATTCTCAGTAGTAGCATGAAGTCTGGAATTTGGCCCGGTATATGGCAATAGGCTCAACCCCTATTACATTGGACTCATAACATAAATAGTGAAAAGTGGGTGTTACATTGTACAGTGGCATAATGTGCACCTCTGCCTACCCTTTCGGGGATAAAAGGTGTGATGTTATGTATGTAAAAATAATATAAGTATGCAGCATAAAGCAGGTATAGTATATGATTCACATTTAAATTGGACGGCTACACTAAAGACCATGTATTGTCATGACATGATGTCAACATGTTAGTTTGATAAAAATGTAATAGTGGACATACTTAAAATGCCGAGGTACCTAATATAAATATCTTTACCCACAACTCGACACATTACAAAATAAAAAGAAATTAATTATTATCCAAAATTTTTGTTATATCAAAATAAACTTTAGAGTTATAACAAAGTTCACAAGTCTAGGAAAAGAAATAGAAAGTTAGTAGCGTAATTTTACATAACATAAACTTGCAGGGTAATCTAATCTTATCCAGTATGTATAATAACATTGAATCAAAGAGTCTATTATTGTTTAGTTATGTTATCTATTACATCAAGTGCAATGCTTCTTAGTGAATGTGTAACCAGCCATTATCTAAATACCTAATTAAATAAATAAATGAATGTAAATAAAATCAACACAGTCCAACAAGAACCTCAGTAACACCTGGTCATCACTGTCTGTCACTTCTGACCTGTTTACTCAAACCTGCTTATTTTAATGATTTTATTTCATTTAGCACACAATTATCAGGCTACAATCAAAGATTCACTGCTAAACCTGTTTAATGGTAATTATTTCAACAAATAAACAAATATTACTATGCCACTGAGACTACAAACATAATGTCAAAGTGTCAAAAATGTAATTGAATAAATAAACGAAAATCACATCTTATTGACTTCTAATTAATAATCAATCAATTATTTACGTTATTATAATGAATACTCACTTTTGAAACAAGTCTTTCCTTTGTTCCGTAGTCCACGGTCGTCCGTAAAAGCCTGGAATAGTTAAGCTTAGGTCATTCACTCCATTATAAACTTAGATACAAGACAAGATGTATAACTACAATATACTACTACATCATACATTTTCACATAAAAATAACTATAATTACCTTCAACAACCCCGCAAATAAAGTCCTTGCGATTAGGACTGGGTTCGTCCGGTGAAGTTTCAGTCATATTTACAAGTAAATCAACAAATTAGACCACCAAAATGTAATGGTACGTCTGATGGAATAATTTCTAGTGTCCTTATAAAATATTTACACGGTTGTCGCTGACTCACTCACAGACAGCGGCAAGGTAAATAACTGTAATAACAATATCTTAACTAAAAAGCACCGGTTGACCCGTAACAGACGTAAATTAGAGAATTACTTTATTCCCGACAAGGAAATCTCTCAAAGATATCATGATGTGTCAAACTAAAAATTACGTTTAGTGTCTCCATCGTGCATGAAAACTTTCCAATTTGTCAATAGAGCAATTTTATCTTTTATTCGCTTTTCTACAGTTTTATTGCAGTATTCATATATACCATCTACATTAATTAATAACTTTTATTTTATTGTTTGGGCTATCTTTCCAGAATTTACGGACAACATCAAATAAAACGCATATGTTACTCGTAGTAGAAAATGATAAAATATACTAGCAACACTGTTAAATACTGAGCACGTAGCGCGCAACTTTTGAAATTTTAATAGTAAACTACTACCACCTACTACCCAATTTTACTCTCAGATAAATAAAAATAACACATCATTTACGTATAATTGATTTATTTCAATGTATAATTTACAAAGATATCTTACGCAGGTAATAATAGTTTGATTTAATACTGATAAAATGACTTACAAGTGCAATAATGTACTTATTTCAACCATTTCTATTCAAAGGACCAGCAAAATTGATTCAACAATCACCAACTTTTAAAATAATCAGAAAAAATCTATTTAATAAAACATTTATCGGTAAAAGTGCTATTTAATAATGACTAGAATATTTTAATACTGGAATGTTGGCATATTTACTTAAATCTAGCAAACTTACTTTAGTTAGTTATGTACAAAATATTTTTTCACATAATTTCGTTATATTTACAATAAATGGTAAACACTTCAAAATAATACAAGAAATTATTAGAACTATGAAATCAATTAATTTTATAGATTGGTAATACTAATTACTAACACAATACAGATTTTAGATTTTCAGTTAAACTGTAAATTACATATATTTTAAGGTAAGATACTAAATTGCATTCGTTTTATGTACATTTTTTTTTCACAAACACTTAATAAATTGCGAGTGTAATAAAATTATAACAAGCATTACACTTATTTATCAACTGCGTAATTACTAACGCATCACCATCATCAACAGAACACTCTGCTAGATTTGGCCGCCTCTACTAGAGAGGGTTTCCCAATCTCCATACTTGACAGTCCAGTTCGAGAGCAGATATATTGACGCATACAAACATTTTAATTGACCGGTCTGAAGTACGTCACGAACATATCGCTGTCACTTTTGCTCACTAACGTTAGTGCATATTGGCGTCTCGTTTACTCATCGCACTAACTTCAGAGAAGTCGAGTTACCTTTACAACTCTTTCAAACGCTCTTTGGGGCTAACTGTAACAAAAAAATCCTATACATATCGCCATATTAATTTACAAGCTGGTCCGTAGCACATTTAATAAGCGAAAACACATTTTTAATTGTCCTTTTTTGGCTTTATTTAGTTCAGACGAGGATCTTGTCTCCTGCAATCTTAATTAGTAGTAGACGGCTGATAGGCCGCATCTCTGCAAGTGTCAGCCGAGCATCCCGCCTGACATGTTCCCGTGGACTCTCATGTGGCGGTTTAGGTTGCCTGATTGGGAGAACCTGTCGGAGAAACAAATATTTTTTTGTAAACTATTATTGCAGTGCTACTTTTGAATTTCATATTGGGCGAAGGGTCAGAGGATTATACAGAACAAACATTTTCTGAAGTCAATTCTCGACATTAACTTAGTTTTTTTAACGTTACCCCACTATAGGATTTTCTTCTATGTCGTAGGTGCGTTTATAAACATACAAATTCACATGACACATGACACCCAAACCCGAAACAAAAATTTGTGGATCATACAACTGTCGTTCCGTGCGGGAATCAAACCCGTGTCACGCTGCACGGCAGCCGGTTGCCCAGCCACAACCGTGCAGTCTACTACTTTACCTAATTTAACTAATTTAAACTAACGAAATTAATTTCGTCTACTTAGAAATTAGAATCCTTTATAAATCGTCTCGTATTCCAGTTATCTACTCCTTACCTCAGTAAACACAATTTGCACTGGTACGGCTTCTCTCCCGAATGTATGCGTAAATGTTTCGTTAGAGTAGAACTATCCGAGAACGCCTTCTTACAAGATCTGCATCTGTTGATGATAATAAATCATATAAATATTTAGTCAATGAGGGGAGTGCCGTTCTTCGGGACGACTAGCTCAAACCAAAATGATACCACCGGCCTCACAGAAAACCGATGGGTAATAACGCTTGCGTTGTTCGTCTGTGCCTTTAGCCAAACGCCACTTTAGCGCTAGTCTACAGAGAGAGTAGAAATCAAAATGTATGGGAATGACACTGACAAGTGTCAAAATTTACGTCAATTCCATAAAGGAGAACGGCAGATTTTGTACCGCTTCGCTAAAAAAAGATTTGTCATTAAAAAATTGGGTCATTATAGAACCTCCTAAGTATGTTATGTTAGCATATTTAATAGATTTTTAAAACTTGGGAACCCTAGAAAAACTGATATTCAATAATGATAAAAAGCAATCCACTATACGTAAAACGAACCGCGATTGACGTTTACAAAGTTGCCATGCGTAAAGATGAAATCAGAGCATATTGAATTTCGCTATTTCATAAACTCATTTATTTTAATATCTATCAATGAAATATTTTCCTTTCCATTTCAAACATTTTTATAAGTAAATATAAAAATCTACATCCAATCTAAATCTACGTTTACATGGATTATTAATGATAATTAACATTTTAACAAACTTGAATATTATGGCAATGTTGAACTGGCATTTGTCTTGATGACATTGACAATTAATTTGTCAATACTGGCGCATTGCTGTTTGTTTCAAATGCGATGTTATGATGTGTTTGTTGAATTTGAAGTTATTTTATTCATCTGGTGATACGTTGAGTTTGGCAACCGTTCCTCCGTAGCCCAAATTGGTATTATTGGCATCATTGTTGTGACAATTGCGAAAAGACACTTATTTACATTATTTTGTGCAGTGTGTTGTTATTTGTCGCGATGATGAATTTACAGTGTATTAATTGCATTCAGAGTTTGTCGCACATGAGACGGCATGCTCTAGAAAATGAGAGTGAAGATTAGACGTGGTCAACAATATCCCAATGTGGACTTATCCTAGAGATGTAAGTACCTAGTTTACCCATAACATATCGAAAGTCACCATGTTCCTGAATAAAAGAAGGCGCATAGTGTTATCTACCCATAATGTATCATTTTATTCTTTTTATTCTAGATCTCTCCTACCGACCATATTTGCAATGCTTGCTGGCAATTAGCAATGTATCGGGATGTTGCTGAAAGTATGTCCAGCAAACAAATTGGTCACTGGCATGTTTGTGTCGTATATGGGTGATTCATTGCAATGATAAGGTGACGCAGGGTTTTAATTGAAGGCGCCAACAAACAGGAGTAAAGACTGGCTCATATAGTATTTGATTGGATTCAGCCACAAGAGGTAATAAAGCATAATTTAACCATACTATTATCTATATACAGTGTAATCTAAAGTCAATATCATATTCTAATAATATTACTTATTTTAGCTTACTTCCCATGATGAAGATCATGTTCCATACTGACTGAGAGACCGTACAAGAGTCGAAACTATAAAACCACAACCTGACATACCACCTCACAGTGTTCACTATCAGGAAGTAATGTATTATGTAAACATGGACTAAGCCTCACTTTAACATTGCCATTTGTAGAACAGATGAGGCCGGATGATGTTGTTCGGCTCTCAAAGCTTCAACAGGTATGCATTCTCAATATAATGTACCTACATAATTATGTATCTATGTGGAGTATATAAGCGGTTTCTAATAGGTTTATACTCATGTTATAATTATAATTTATTAATTAGCATGCTGTTTGAGCTCCTATGATCTGTGTTATACGAATAACTATAATAAATGTTATAAAATGAAGTAATGTAATCAAATATTTATTTTTATCTTTTCCATTTTAAGATAGGGAATCAGACTTATTATTATAACATATAAAACTAAAGGAAAAAAATGTACTTTTGTTTACTTTATTTACAGTTATCTTACTTGTTTACAGATATCAGCAATTGATGTCTGCTGTACCTATGACACGGCCTGTTCTCTTTTTAGATGAAGTACTCCTAGAAACAACCTGAATACAATGAAATAAAAGTATTTCAAAATAATACATTTGTTTTATTTTAACCTAGTAAGTAACTATATATTCCATCTTGATAAAAGTGATTTTAAGAATCAATCTATAAAATAAATGCCATATTTAATTTAGATAGCTTTAGTTTTATACCAAAAATGTTCATTTTCATTTTACATTTTCTTTAGTTGTAATGTGGTGGCCCAGAGGTTTAAGAAGCCCGCTTCTCATGCATGAGAGTGCGGGTTCGAAACCTACCAACGGCAAAGTACCTTTTGTCCAATGTGTCTTTTTTCCGAGTTATTGGTATATTCAATAATCTAAGAAAGTACAAAGACACCGCTGACGAATGGTGAAGGAAAACATTGTGAGGAAACATGGGCTTATAATTTCTTATTATAAGTTTGAATTACCAACCCACATTGAGCTAGTATGGTGATTAATGCTCAAACCTCCATGCGAGAAGAGGCTTCGGTCAGCAGTGGCCACTTATAGACTTAATGATGAAAATGTTGATGATTCTACTAATTTGACTTACTTATTAGAAATTAATCCTTACATGCGTGCTAAGCAACCAGTTTTCAGAAGAAATACTTTCTCAAAGAGCTAAGCTAAGTTTAAATCGAATTAACTTGAGACCCTTGAGACTATCTACCTGCAAGATTCAAGGTGAAGTGAGACATTAGTTTTATCATATCCGCCACAAGACTTCCACTGCTAAATGTAGGCCTTCTACCCAATGACAGTCGCTTACATTATGAATTTGCATTTTCGTAGGCACCTAAGAAATGAAAAAGATTGTGAGGCATACTCTTTAAAACTCTATAGGTGCATCATGCTTGCTGAATTAACAGGATCATTCCTAATTGCCTTTTGCGCTGCGACGCACCATAGGTTATTTTTTGGGTTTCTAAATTCTTGTTGTGTGTCGTAGCAAAATAAATGGTTTTTCTTTCTTTCTTTCTTTCTAATAATACAAAGTGTAATAGTCACTTGAGTAGCGAGCAGTATTTTTAGATTTTTGTTTTTTGTAAATAAACAACCACATGAGAGCACATTGACATTTTTCAGTTAACTGTCATCTGTCATTTGTAATAGATATTTTGCTTACGGTGGCTCTACACTTGACGTTGCGTATTTGTTGTGTTCGGCCAAAAAAGAACATGTTTGGAGGATTTATTCTTCTTTGTTTGCTATATATTTGCACGCCATTACATATAGAGATACTATTTGGACGCCATTTGTACGTAGTCTACAAATATTTGGACAAATGAAGCGACTACGCAATGTCAAGTGTGGTACCACCTTAACATACCTTTTGCACATTTTCAAAGTGAAATAACTTTTGAACCCCAAGTTCTAAAAATATGTAATTTTTTTCTAAACTTCATAATAAAAATATCTATCGTTCAGACTATTCACTTGGTTAAAACAATGACTAATACAAAATTTTATAGCGGTACAAAACTTCCATACAAACCTGCCATTCTCCTTTGGTTTTCTATTCTTTATGTAGACAAGCGCTAAACGGCATTTGGCTACAGCTGCTGGTGTTGTGAGTGTGTATAGTCGATAGCGATTGCTAACCATCAGGTACTCAGTCTGCTCGTTTACTCACTTATGCCATAAAAAGAACAAAATACTTAGTTTTAGAAAACCCCAACGATCCTCAAATTCCTAATCCCCAAAAGGCCGGTAACGCACTTGTAATGCCTCTGGTGTTCCAGGTGTCTATGGGCGACGCCGATTGCTTACCATTAGGTGATCCGTCTGCTCGTTTACCGGCTTATGCCATAAAAAAGGAAAATTTATTCAAAATAATAGTGCACTTACTGATACGGCCTTTCTCCCGAGTGCGTTCTCATGTGAGTCGTGACGCTGGAACTTTGGCTGAACCGACGATCACATATGGGACACCTTGAACAAATCATACAGTTATTATCAGAATCGGTCTGATAGTGACAATATCTTCCATAATTCAACCTATATTTCTGGGATCCTAAGTTTGATAACATAAATAAATAAGGTTCTACAAAAATATTCGCAGTTATACGCTTTTTGCAATTCCTTCGTTTAAATATGACACAAACATGTTAATGAAGCGAAGAGAAGAGGTATGTAAGAATCGTAGTAACTGGCGTTCCTTAGTCTCTGCCTACCCCCATGGGAGACAGGCGTGAAGTTATGTATGTATGTATGTACAAACATTTTCTTCCATGTGTTTAATCTGTATCTCTTACCTAAAAGGTTTCTGACCAGTATGAGTCCTGACATGGGCCGTCAGGTTGGCAGCCTGAGAGAAGCTCTTGTTGCAGTCTCCACACCTGTACGGTCTCTCACCGGAGTGAGTGCGGAGGTGGGTCTTCAACGTGCTGGGTCGAGCATACGTCTTGCCACATATACGACAGAGGTTCGGCTTCTGTTCGTCATCTTCTGAACAGTTGCTTAGAGCTCCCACCTGGTTAAAGGGTGTCATTATTACTTAAATTGTTCTTTATGAGCAAAATAAATAAAAGAAAATTATAACAGTGTTTTATGAACTGTAAAGAAGTTGTTATATTTCAGAAGGCGTACGTGTTTATTGTACGTTTAAAGAGACCAAAACGATATCGCGTAGTAACGGTACAGTATACAAACACACTGTCGGAATATGAACCTATATTTTATTAAAATCACATATTATTTTGTAGTCTTCAAGATTTTACATTTATCTTTGACGATTTACACAAAACTTTTTACAGAAAGTACCTATAAAAAGAACTAATTTTTAATAATAAAAACACATGGTAACTTTTATTACACCGTAAATTGTCAACTTACCGGCACTTTCCCAGAAGAATTAACACAGGCAGCATACCCATACTCTTGCGGATGCATCTGTCCTTGATTCAAGATGTACCCGTTGCCCATATTCTGTTCCTTCTGCGTCTCTTGCCCATAAATCTTGGAAGGTGGCCTCTTTAAAGTCTGCCCTAAACCCTTCTGGTTCGAAAAATTAGGTTTCTGCTGGAATAAGGCATAGTTAGGATTCGGTTTTTGAGGATTTTGCAATAGTGGTTTAAATGTCGATGATGCTGTTATTAGGGGATCACTTTGGTTTGGTGTTCGGAAGTCCGCGGTGAAGGAATACGTGGCTGAAGGGTAGGTTGAGGAGCTGATCACGTTCTGCGATTGTGGATAGACCACGTTCACTGATGGCGTTGAGGCGTTCTGATTCCATTGCATCTGTGAAGATAACTCTAGATTAAATACCTAAATGCGTAACTATACCTGTACTTCGACTTCATACATATTCATAAACCACGGTGTTATACAGCACCATCGCTTTTTATAATAGGGTTGATGACTAGTTTTTATTTTAATGTCCGTCTGGTATATTATTTAATATTTAAAAATATTAGATACGTATTTTTTTTACGGAAACGATTAGTTTCGATGATATATTGATTCTAAATGTCCTGTGACGTCACTTCTATGTACATTTTATACGTAGAAATGATGTTTTAGCCCCCACTCCTAAACTTTGATTCGTTATATCTAAGTATAATTTTATCATACAACAAAATAAAAATGATGTGTCTAATATTATTTCAATAACTAACTGACGGACTAATTACATTTTAATTTTCAGTAACTTAAGTAGGACCACATGCCGAAAAGTTACTTTTACATAAATTGTAGAAAAATATTACAAAATATACTTTTTTGTAAGTAAACTGTGCAACTAACCTGTGAACACAGTTGCTCCGGGGGGCATCCGTGCATAGTCATGTTCATGGAAACGTTGACGCTCATGGTGGGGAAGAGGGGAGCCCCTCCATAGTGTTCGTAGTATGGGTAGCCACCGTTGTTCACCATCATCTGTACATAGACATGGTGTTAGGGAGATTGATTGAGAGAAAGAAAGAAAAATATCTTGCACAGAACAAACATTAACTTAACAACTACAAAAAAAAATACATTGATATGGAAAGCGAAGGTAAACAGAAAGTAATAGAAAAAAAAACTTAAAAAAATACTAGGGCTCAAATCAAACGAAGTCTTGTCTACAATTATAAAAATCTTGAGATTCTAGTTTATAAAAAGTGGTCACAATGATGATAATTTGGTGATTTAGACATTCATCTCGGACACTATTATTATTTTATTATTAACCTGTGACTGTGAAGTATCGGAACGTAAATCTACGTGAGACACAATGTGTTTTCTATTGTGTCTCATATACCGACAGACAAGAAATTAAACATCATGAAGGTATGTATGTATGTACATACAATCAAGGACAGACTATAAACTTTAAAATATTCCGATCAATTTGGCACTCCGGTCTCGGCGTTTTCAAAAACCAACAGATTTAATTTTATAGTGTTTATTTTAATTCATAATTGATGATTTATGACTAACAAAATAGACAATATTTGTTTTTAATCCGAATTTTAATAGTTTAAGTATTCGTAGCATCGTAGCGTAGTCCTGCTACCCTGACGCGGCGGCCGTCGCTACGCGAGCTACGAAATACTACGCAAGCTACGAAACTCGTAGCACACATAACTTTATCATTATAAATTGCGCTTTTTCATAACGTCCTGAATAGTCCTCAGGCTATGGGCTGACTGAGTTTACTGCTGTTTCTCTACGAGCGGTTTTTAGTCAGATAACCATTTTCAATATTTCAAGACTCATACTCATACATAGTTAGGTATGTATAATTATTATGAAGTAGCCAATTCTGTGCGTTTCTTCCGTTCAAACAAACAAGCAAAGAACTCTTCAGCTTTGTCTTTAGCTCCAGCCTTTTGCGCTGTGACTCACCATTGGCTTGTTGTGTACCTGTATTCCTGTTGTGTGTCGTGGCGTAATAAATGGTTTTTCTTTCTCTCTTTCTTTCTTTCTTATATAATAATAGATATAAGATTAAGGGCCTGTTTCACGATATGTGGATAGCCGTTATCTACCAAATAAATTTGAATTAAGAACGTAATTTGTATGAACTATCTGTCACATAAGTTTATCAGGTAAATATGTACTTATACATATAGAGGTGATAAACTGGCCCTAAGAGTTAGATTTAGAACACAATGTTAGGTATACAAGTGACAAGTGAAACAAGTGAATTTAGTGAATTTATTTCTGCAAATAGGCTACAAGGCAGCACTTCTACACTGCAATTTTTCAAGCGAACCATGAGATTTCATTGCCGATGAACGAACATGTCCTTACTGGGCCTTTAGCCAAACGCAACTTAAGCGCTTGTCTACAGAGAGAGTAGAAATCAAAATGTGAGGAAGGGACACTGACAAGTGTCACAATTTACGTCAATCCTTACTTCCTTACTTATATTATAAATCGGAAAGTGAGTTTGTTTGTTTGTTCCACTTTAACGCCGTAACTACTAAACCGATTGCTTTGAATTTTTGCAGATGTATAGTTGGAAGTCTGGATTAAATAATAGGGTACTTTTTATCCCGGAAAAATTTATATTCCCGAGGGAAAACAAAAGTATTGGTATAGATGGCGCTGTGTGTATTGGTATATGTCACATTGGCTTTTTATCCTTTTGTGACGCGAGCGAAGCAGCGGGTAAAAGCTAGTTCCATATAATTTGATTTTCTACTCTACATGTACTTAGACAAGCGCTAAATGGCATTTGGCCACAGCTCCTGACTGCTCTAAGAAGAAATGGCGAAACAAATTCATATGTACATATGAATTTTATTTACAGAATTAATAATTTACAGAATTAGATATTTCAGAGGGTAATTTGTCACTATTTATAACATCAAAGTACTTAATAGAGGTACATACCCGAAGAAAAGTAAAAAAACATTGTCAACATCAAGAGTACCAAAAATATTGTCAACATAAACATTTTGTGTATGCACGTGACATCAAACGGAAACTCTCTAGATGTACCGTCTCATTTCTTTGTGTTACATTTGAAAGGAAGCGAAACAATGGCTTTATTGTTAAAGTTACTTTACCGACCATTGTGTAATAGTAACTCGGGTGACTTTGTTTATTTATTTCTTCTATTCAGTCTACAAACAGAAATATCTAAGTACCATTCATCATCAACAGCATATAAGTGGCCACTAATGACCAAAGGCCTCTTCTCACACGGAGAAGGTTTGAGCATTAATCACCACGCTAGCTCAATGAGGATTGGCGATTTCAAACTTATAATTAGAAAATATAAGCCCAGGTAAGTAACTATTCGTAAGACGTGAATAAAAAACGATAGTTTCCAGTTTTTTCTTCTCCTCTTATAATAATTGTTCTGATTCATTTCGTTGTGGGGACCAAGACCGTTAATCATGTCCCTGGGACTTCAGTATTCCTTACTTCAATTGCGACCACTTGGCCAACGAGGCAGACTTTAAACACCAAAATCTCCACACAGAATACCGAATACTCTAAACTACATGCCCATGCCAACTACATACTTAAGTTTCAAAAAGTCTCCACGCGCTATTACTCAGTCGAAAAATGTTATTACACTGTAGATGATTTTGTAAATGACTAAGTATAGTTTTGTTTTAATTTTGTTTTAATAGCTTTATTTGGGTTTCGATTTTGTTTTTATGTAATCTTACTTATTTTAAACCCCGTAATAAATCTAAAATTTAAAAATCTCAGTAGTAGCACGGAGTCTGGAAAAATGTGCCCGGTAAATGGCAATAGGCTCATCCCCTATTACATGGGACTCATAACATAAATAGTGAAAAGTGGGTGTTACATTGTACAGTGGCATTAAGTGCCGAAATATGCACCTCTGCCTACCCCTTCGGGGATAAAAAGGCGTGATGTTATGTATGTATGTTACTTATTTTATCCATTTTCTGTTAGTTTTTATTTTGGTTATTTGTTTATTTTATTCTTATTTACGCAATTAATATTTACATTGTACGCCTCACGACAAAACATAGCAACCAGCAATTCTTTTGTAGCACCAATCTGTACATACCTGTTATACAAACGAATATTCTGATTCTGATTCATTGTTCTCTGTACCATCGTCATCTCTATCAATATTAAATCCATCGAAATTTCAATTTCAATAAAGCCGAAGCCACACAGAAACGTTTATAAAAGGAAGCCTACAATAATCCGGGATACCGAATTAATTACAAATATTTCATATCGGAACCCTAGAAGGGCGGAACCCGTTTCCACAGTTTTCCACACATTTTCAAACACCCCTTTTGTGAGACAGAAATAGCCAATCGAACTGTTGATGCTAAAACGAGATGCAAAACGGTAAACACTGGTATTGAACAGAGCGATGTGTATTCGTCCTTGTTTAACTAATCGATGAGTTAGTAAGAGTGAAAGGGACGGTGTTACCTGAGGGTGTACGGCCTCGGAGGAACAGTCGCCATGGACGACAGCGTGTTTCAACGAGAGGAGGACGTCCGCCGCCTCCCCGCCTCCCCGCTCCCTGCATTCCCCCGCTCCGCTCCTGATTGTAGTAAAGGGATGTGTTTAATTGCATCGATTTGTGCAATTACTTATAACTGCTATAATATAGTTAGTATTGCCTATTTTCGTCCCTACACATTTAAAGATTTGGGTCACATAGTCAACCCAGCCCGTCTGTATTTGTCTAGATTAAATTTTATGAAAGCAAAGTTTGCCCATATCAACAACTTATAACAGCCTTAACCTTATGAGATTCACAGCTGTATCTGAAATAACGTTAATATTGTAGGCCACATTTTGTTGGACAAAATCTTGTTTTTTTTTTACATTATCATTTTTATTTTTTTACTTTTGGAGCTTTTTATGGTGGTCGAGCGTAGCTGCTACATGCAAATTAAATGGGCCAGTTTGACCGAGTAGTGAATACCATTTCTCAAAAATTCAGAATACACTAGCGTAAAACAGTTTTCAGAAATATGGCGCAATTAAACATCAGCTTTCTACCGTAAGTAATTTGTTACTACCATTAACTTAAAAAAATTGACACCATTCGCGACCTTTTCTATAAAATATTTAAAACGTGATTTCCAATATACCCCACACTTAAAAAATCTTCGACAAACATGTTGGACAGTTGGAAATGACTTAAACTGTCAAACACCGCGAGGACACCGGTGACCGCAACCGATTGTTCTTTAACTGTGTCTATAATGACGGTACTCAACTGGTTAAGCAAGAACCTTCATTCTTCACCAAAGTAACTTTGTCCAAGTAAGCTGTTTAAATGTAACAAAATAAGCTCACTTGTATCCCGAGCATGGTGAGAATGGAAACAGCGAGGGCAGCGGCTCCAGGTCCAGCGGGGGCAAGGAGAAGGAGCCCATGTCCTCGGGCGGCCACCCCTCGTCCGGAGACAGCGCCGAGCAAGCGATCGTATCGCTTAAAGCGTTCAAATCTTCGCCATTTTCTGGACAGCAGTTCTCGTTTTCCTGCTGTAAGAGGAATTCTTGGTTCGAATAATGTTCTTTGTAAAATGTTATACCTAGATATTGTTTATAAACCTCACATCAAATGAACACAATGGTAATTCAACGCTAAAAAGTTTTTTTTATATTAGATGGGACTGACGTTTGACCACTATCTCGCCTCGTCTATCTCGCGTCGTTTCATAAGCAACCTATTCACTCGGGCCTTGAAGACTCTTCAGGAAATACAGACTCTGACAAAGAATTCCACTCCTTAGCAGTACGCATAAGGAAGCTTGATGCGAAAGCTTCGTGCGTGTAGGTGGGACATTTACCATGAATCGGTAAGTTTAAAATAATCCAGTCAATTTTAGGTTTTAATCTGCGAAATAATTTTCTTTTTACTAAATATTTCTACTGAGAAAGTTTTTAATATGCGCAGTCACTCAAACAGTTCCATAAGAGTTTTTCCGCAGTGTGGATCTTTAAGTTGCTAGAAGAACTAATTCTAAAGCTAATTTCTTGCAAGTAGCAGCGGTTCTGCTGCCCGCGGTTGGTAGACGAGTACCTGGACTGAAACATCCATTTAACAAATCAAGTTCCTCCCACGTTGTTAAACATCGCAGTAACTTATTAGCATCTGTATTTGTATTGGGTTGGTGGAGAGGGGTGACACGGCTCAATTTCTGTTTTCAATTTCATTCAAATTTTGTGATTCAATCAGCAGAATTGTTAACTTTGGGTTTAAGATAATGACGCCATTAATATTTTGCTTTGCTGTACGATTTTTATTAATATTTTAATAAATTGTTTGTCAATGGAATATTTTTTCTTTATTTATTTCTTTTAGAGAAAAATTCCCGAAAAAAAAACGATTTAGACAAGACTACCAAATAAAATATATTTTGTGAAGTTTGCAATTTAATTTTACCTAATAAGTACCTACCTATACAAATAAGTAGGTACCTACACTAATTTCAAATTACAATTGCCGGCGGTTCTGTTTGTGATTACCGATTAAGAGGGAACCACAATGTGCGATCCTGGTCTAACATTTTCTGCCTAAGAATTAGGTACTACTAGTAAAATATCCAAGCACGAATGTATATTTACAAGTAAGTGAATTTTTATTAAAACTGAGATATTTACAACAAAAGGAAAATGTACAAATTAAGATCTAAAAGATAAAAAATAAATAAAATAAAACTAAAAATAACTATTTACCTACAGAGAGCATCAAAAATCGTCCACATAGACGTACATTGGGAAAGTACCCAGAAGGCTGGCAGCATTGCCAAGTTGTATGGCAATGCTTAACCTTTGACCGAGAAATAGCCGTCTTGTCACGAGTTTGAAATGTCACTACATAGTATAAAACAAAGTCGCTATTCGCCGTCTGTCTGTCCCTATGTATGCTTAGATCTTTAAAAATACAGAACGGATTTTGATATGTTTTTAAATAGAATGATTCTTAAACAAGTAAGGTTTATATGTATAATACATCCATGTTGCACACGTGCGAGACCAAGGCGGGTCACTAGTTTTTAAATAAAATAGCCTATACTTCTTGGACCCTACGGACCTAACGTCTGAACCCCAAACGTAAGTAGGTACCTAATTCCTAGGCAGAAAATGTTAAGTCAAGCACGAATGTCTAAATTGTATAGAAGTAATTTTAAATTGAATCACCACGCATTAAGTTTAAGCTGTGTAAACATTCCTTAAGCGGCTGGATTAACGCGTACTCTAGAAGGTTGTGTTATATCGCTTCTGAGTGGATGATAACTGAATCTTAAACCTATACCCGTACTATGCCTACTAATCATATATTTTCAGAGAAAAGTAACCTTGTCTTTAGCCAAACGCCACTTTAGCGGATGACACTGACAAGTGTCAAAATTTACGTCAATTTCATATAATTTGGTTTTCTACTCTACATGTAGACAAGCGCTAAAGTAGCGTTTGGCTAAAGGCACTGATCACGATAGATAGGTACTAAGATAAATCAGTAAACCTTAGTGTCTACAAAAGTATTTCGACATACCTACCTACGCACATTATATTTATAAGAAGTCTCTGTCAAACCCCAAACTGATCTTGATATTTTTGATTAAGATTGGTGAATTAATACCTCCACCCTCCACCTGAACATGGTTCATATCATATGTTATAGAACGTCAATTTTCTGTCATTGTTTCTGAACATCCTAGAAAAAGATTAAGAAATAACTTGATTCCTGGAATAGAGTGTTCTCTTCTGTATTGTACTTAAATTATTCGGATACCGCCATAATCGCCCACGTTCATGATAAAATAATAAACATAGATTATTTCTTTTTTGTATCATAGAAATAAATGTTATGCAAATAAGGTTGTAAATATATTGCAACATTGACCAAGTTCTTTCGTTACATTTTGATATGTGTTTTGGTTTCATTAATATTTAATAGTATTTTAGTGGACCAAGTTCTCATTAACATCTTGAACTTGAATAATTGGCGCCCAACTTGGGACTCCAGATTAAAAACTACAACAGCTCAATTAAGTCTTGTTTCTTAACCGATCTTCAAGGCAACTAGGTACACTTTATTCACAAAGAGCCTACCAATAATATTTTACTCAATTCACATACGCCAAAGTAATTGTTCTTCGTCAAAAACATACCAACATTAGAAAAATGGAAAGTACTTACCTATCACTGAATTAGTATGAAGTTGGTATCTGCCTAATGTACTAGTAACCTAATTATACAAAAAAACCACATCTAGAATTGAAATTGGCGCCCAACATGGGACCAACCCTTCCACCAATTTGGGCACCATTAATTAAAACATCATCACACTTATACCTGTACAAATCCACCTGGAACTGCACCTTCTAAACACACACACACAAACACCAGAATAAGAACACACCTGACAGCACTCTTCGGGGAACTCTCTCAAGGGGTTCTCGACACAGGTGCACTGGAGAGGATCGCAGCAAAGCCCGTGGTCTGTCGGGCAATACTCGACCAACCCGAATTGGGGGTTGTTCGGTACGTAGCAATCCATTGCCCCGCCTCTTTGCGCGCATCTCTACAGCGCAGGGGCGGAGATTGTGCTCATTGTTCACTCAGATGCTTAAATGCTCAGTTTCCGACGCTTGTAGTCGCGGGTTGGCATGCTGAAATGTGATATGGTTGTTTTAGTTTATATTTCTTGTATGAGGTTTACTTATCTACATAGTATTGTATTGTATTTAGAAGTACCTACATATGTCATAGTTGAACAAGAAATTATTGATCTGGAAATTCCATTCAGTTAATTAAAATCAAGATATCTGATTACAGTTAATTAAACTAAATGTATTATTAGTTAAATTAGCATAACATTTATTCGTCAATTAAAATTTACATGAAAATAACTCCTATCCTATCCTAATTAAAGTTTATTTTCGAGTAAAATATTGCGTCGATCGTGGAGAATTGCAAAACCCGAGTTTATAAAGAGGCCTATTAATAGTCTAGCAGTAAATAGTCGCAGGGTATATCTTCTCTACTATATAAAAATAAGTCGAGTTTTCCTTCCTGACGCTATAACTCCAGAACTCACGAACCGATTTCCACGGTTTTGTATTCGTTGGAAAGGTCTCGGGCTCCGTGAGGTTTATAGCAAAAAAAATCCTTTGTTATTGTGCCATTGGTTTTAGCCGTAAAACTTTTTTGTAAGAAAAGTGTTTCACTTACTACTGTCCTCGTCCTCTTACTAGTGTACTGATTGCATTAATGATTAAGTAAGTAAGTACCTACTTTCAATTTATAAAAATGCTAGCTTTTTTGTCTCGTTGGTCGATTGGTCGCAAGTGCGACTGCCGGGCAAGGCGTCTCGAGTCCGACTCCAAAGGGCAAAGTATTACTGGGTTTTTAACAATTCTCAGTAGTAGCAAGGAGTCTAAAATTGTTCCCGGTATATGGCAATAGGCCCACCCCCTATTACATGGGACTCATAAATAAATAGTGAAAAGTGGGTGTTACATTGTACACACGGCTACACATCGAGCTTTACATAACCAGTATAAACTGAACATTAAATGTGCGGAAAGATGATGCGACGCGACACCAGGATAAACTGGTTTTGTGTAGATTGATGTGTGGCATGGCATTAAGTGCCGTAATGTGCACCTCTGCCTACCCCTTTTTTAAGGGGTTAAAATCATCCAACGACTCCTCCCAACTTAGGTAGGATATAATTTAAAACCACGGTAGTCGAGATCGTGACACGTACAAAGCTTAACGCACGTATTATTTTAACAGGAGGTGTCCTAAGGAGCTCTATATATTCAGTATCAGATTACATGTTAATTCTTGTGACCACAACATTGCTGCTGGATAAAACCTCAATGCTGTAAATCCCCATTAAAAACTTTTATTTTAGATATTGATCATTTGTATCAATCAAATACTATACTTTTATTATATTTTTATGCTATGATTTCCCATAATAATCTTTTGGTTTTTGATATTGATCATTTGGATCGATCAAATACAAATGTATTTTTACTTGTTCATCAATTGTATTTATTCAAATAAAAACTTAAATAAAATGAAAACTAACTATTACTAAATTAAATATATAAGTACAACTTAAGATTAAAATTAATTGAAACAAAAACAACTATTTACATAACAATCGAAAAATTCGTCCGCATCGACGTCAGTGGGGAAAGTACCAAGAAGGCTGGCAGCATTGCATTTTTTGTTTTATTTTTACTTATACCAAACATATCTCACTACCTAATTAGGGATAATTGGGGTTGTGGTCAGAAGTAAACACCGAGGTAGATACTAGATAGAAAAACGTTATATTGAGAAATTAGGGTACAAAACTTGACCTAAGGAAGCGAGTGGTACGTCAAGTTTGAAATCGTTCTGTGCCATTAGCCAAACGCCACTTTAACGCTTGTCTACAGAGAGAGTAGAAATCAAAATGTATGGGGATGTCAAAATTTACGTCAATTCCATATAATTTAGTTTTCTACTCTACAAGTGGACAAGCGCTAAATGGCATTTGGCTACAGCTGCTGAACTTTTTCGTTGTGAGAAAAAATATTTATTAAGACGATCACGTCCCTTCTCTCTACCCGCGGTCCCCCCGCGCGCTTCCTTTACAATGTAATAAGGTAAATGAAGGTAAACTAATATTTTTTAATAAAACTGATGCATCGCTAATAGGGATCTTAATTTCGATTCACAGGTGGGAAAGGAGTTTCGAAAATTGTTATAAGTCGCACGGTGCCTGAAATTGTACCCGAAATATGGTTAGAAGCTCGCCCTTTACTTTACCTTATCCTGCCTTACAGGATTTGCAACAGTTTTCGGAGGATTTTTTATACATACATAACTACATAACTTCATTCCTGTCTCCCATTCTCATGGGAAGAGAATGGGAGACATCTCTTCAGAGACTATGGAACGACAATTACTACGATTCCTACATACTTCTTTCGCTTCATCAACAGTCATCAATCTCTTCATACATGCTCGTCGGTTAATGGTATTTTTAATTGGCCCTTCTTAAATATATCGCCAATTCATTATAAGTCCGTCTTTTTTTTAAGTGGGGAAAATCATCGAATGACTGCTCCCGCCCGGGTGAAGCGAGAGGGAGTGTCAGACTTTTACTGACTAAATACCACCCCGTTCCTTCTCCTGCACGTCGAGCCGGAGCCCCGGTAACCCGTTAGGTTCTCTGCGACCAGTAAATGTCCGTCTAGGGCGCCCCCGACGGCCCCATTCATATCCGCTCTGTATACTTCTTTCTTTAGTCTACTTTCATCCATGATTATCTTTTCTACATATTATTCCTTTTTTATAGGACCCATAATACACCTAATTGACATATTCAGCATAGTGGTAGCTTACCTAAGTGTATCCCTAGGTATATAATAATATAATCTATAAGATAATTTCATATTGTGATCAACATTATCAACGAGCAAATTGGATTTAATTCCCCTTCAGTAAGCTTCAATCAACTGTGAATCAATATAGCTTGCTTCAAAGGTCAAATAGTACCTACGTTCGATCAAAACTAGAACACATTTTATATTAATTGTATTTATCTATACCTACCTCCCACAGTCTCAACCCACTGGCTGTCTGTTACCTACACTCTCATATCACTGATGAACCAACTGGGAACTTTCCTTAATCAAAAATAAATTATTTCAACAGTTCAGTACAATAAAATATTAAAAAATGATCACACTTTCATTAAAAGATTTTATGACCGATTTAATTTTAGTATTTTTCCAGCAAATATTTAAGATATAAGTATTCTGTTTGACGCTAAAAAACGTGACGTCACAATACACAATCTCGTACAAAATTCATAGAAAACTGTCGTTTTTGATAGTTCGAAAAAGTATTGAATTTGACTCGTTGACAAGTACCCAATTTAAAATTTGTTATTTGGTACATGAATTGAATAGACTTTAATAGAGGACTTTTTATTATCTGTTCGCGCTTCGTAATACTAGGGATCGCGGCCGAAGCCAGCGCAGAAGCTAATAACTAATAGATATAATTTCATTTGACCGAAATCACAAGATTTTACGACAGGGAAAACTGCCATGGCTGTTAGTAAGTACCCAATTGTTTATTTTAGAGACTTATTAAAGTTGTCGATTGAAACTTTACGTTGTCGTGGTGGCCCGGAGTTTTAAGACGCCCGTTTCTCATGCATGAGGGTGCGGGTTCGAAACCTACCAAAGGCAAGTACCTATGTGACTTTTTCCGAGTTATATGTACTTTCTAAGATTATCTAGACACCGCTGACAAACGGTGAAGGAAAACATCGTGAGGAAACTTGGGCTTATAATTTGTAGTTACGGCACTTAATGCCACTGTACAATGTTACACCCACTTTTCACTATTTATGTTATGAGTCCCATGTAATAGGGGGTGAGCCTATTGCCATATACCAGGTACATTTCCAGACTCCGTGTTACCACTGAGATTTTTTTTTAAAAATCCAGTAATACTTTTCCCGACCCGGGAATCGAATCCGAGACCCCTTGCCCGGTAGTCGCACTTGCGACTACTCGGCTATCGAGACTTGCTTACTATTGAGGCATATTTAGAATCATACCATCGCGATCGCATTGATATACATTTGCATAGTTATGAAGTGAAGGATGGTGGAATTGCTCCAACTTGAACTAAAAGGAAGAATCTTAGTAGTGACACAGTAATTTCTTCTATGTTAAACAGAAGGTTTTAATACATCTAATTAAAGGGAAGGCTTAGAAATATCTACATTATGTTTTATTATACACCATTTATTTATGTCATAGATATTGTCCTTGCTTTTCGTCTCTGTAAACATAGCTAAGTATTTCTCATCACACGCATTGCAAATTAACCAATAATTTTTATTCAGAAAAATAACTATTATCCCCCATAAAACCTGGGCTCGCTGCCGTTGCAGCGGTAAGTCCCCTCTTTGAGGAGTGGCTTGAGAGACACTACGGCGTCCTCACCTACCGCCTGACGCAGGTCCTCACCGGACATGGAAGTTTCGGGAGGTACCTGTGTCTGATGGGGCGGGAGGAAACGCCCGGGTGTCATCACTGCGAGGACAGCCCTGAGGACACGGTGGAACACACTGTTGCGGAATGCCCTGCGTGGGCTGAGCACCGCCGTGCCCTCAGGGAAGTGATCGGCGATGGAGACCTCTCGCGTCCGGGCCTAGTGCAGGCCATGATGCGAAGCGAGGGGGACTGGGATGCCGTCTCCTCCTTTTGCGAAGCAGTCATGCTGGCTAAGGAGGAGGCGGGACGCGTGAGGCAGCGAAGCGCTGCCTCCTCGCAACCCAGCCATCGCGAAGGACACACCGGGCGTCGGGGATCGCGGGACGATCTCCGGCCACCGTAAGCGCGGGCCTGCGGACGGCGAGCATGGGTGGCTCCCCGTCCGACCAGAAAAAGACCCGAGCGTACGGCGCGTCGCGTTCCGCGCGCGCCTCAAAGAGCCATCAGACCACCACAGATGGGGCCCAATAGGGCCGATGCC